TTTAGGAGAAAAGCTCAGAAAAGCTCAATATGTAAAAGATTTCCACTGCATTAGATTGCATTAAAATGAAGCTTATATTGCCAGAAATCTCTAATCTGGCTGATTAAACTGGCCATCAGTGCTAGAAAAGTATTAGTGTCATGTGGCCAATTAACAGAGAGAAATAATTCAGCTACCGCTGTAAGGCTGTTTTTTTGTTTTATTTTGTTTGTTGGTTGTTTTGTTTTGTTTTTTTTGTTTTGTTTTTTACTATGGATATGTCTACAGCAAGGATTAGTATTGGTTAATCAATGTTCTCTAGGTTAACGATGGCCAGAGTGCATTGTGGGATGGATCTACTGTGGTTGTAAAGTGACACCCACAGAAGAGCTTCATTGATTGGTCTGCTCAGTGGAGCCTTGCCAAGATGCATTTATACACACACATATGCACAATCATGCAATTTTAAGTAAATGGCTTCCATTAACTGTTGTTGTGTCTGTGTGTGCGTGTGTATCTAAAAGTCTGTGTGGCTGTCTGTCAGTCTGAATAATATTTCTTAGTGTTTTGGTAAACGCTAAAATGGTAAAAGCTCTAATGTTTCTTTGCGATACTGAAATGTTTGCAGGTTATCTATTCTACTCTGACTTGACATGTTGTCCTATGTCGGACTCTTCAAAAAAAAAAAAATCACTGATTACCCCCACTTTGAATACCAATATATAGTAACAGGTATATGTATAGTACAACAGAAAAAAAATGTACTAGCCTTCAGGTTCAGACCTGTGTTGTTTCACTGTTATTGATTGATGAATTACAGCACAGCCTCCACAGTTCCACTTATTGTTCTGTCAGCATCTGCCTGCTCCATGCTCAGACTTCCTTTACTTTTTTTTTCTTTGTTCTTCAAATGCAGCAGATTAATTTCTCCTCTCCTGGCCTCTCTGGACAGACGTGTTGTAACTGTATAATGGGTTCAGCACAGGGAATAATGTAAGAAGTAGGGAAGTACAACATGGGAAAAGTTAGTAGACGACTGAGCCTCGTAGCCAAGTAACTTTAATATTCTTGTTCTAAAAACCTTCATATTTCCAAACCTCCTGATAAAAGGCTGAGATTGAAACTGAGGAAATGTGCATAATTTAAAATATCTGAACGTGCAGTCAGTGATCAGTCAGTGCTCCAGGCCGTTTTGATTTGTTGTGTTGTTTATCAGAAAAGCTGCCTTCTGTGAATGATTTTGAATGGAGAGAAAGAAAATAGACATCATTTGTTGGCTGCAATGGAAAATTGCCGTCATTTAAGACTGACAAACACACTGGGTGTGTTTGTTTGTGCTGACTTTGTAGCTTTTTTCCCCCTTTTCTAATGACGGTTCCACTGGTGATTAGGGTTAATGATGGTATTGAACCTCAGGGATGCCGATAAATGGATCTTGTTAGTTTGGGACTGATCCAGGATCAGGGTCATCAGCTCAGTTTTCTTTTGTCATTACCAAAAACTGCTGTTTAGTCCAGTTGCTAAATCCTTGTGCTAAGTCGGGCTAACCATCTGCTGACTTGTGCTCCCTTTTTTGATGTACAGAGTAAAATTTTCTTTTAATAGTCCTCATAGGCAACATTTACATGGATACAGTAGCACAAAGGATGTCAGCAGAAAGACAAGAGGAAAGATATTTCCTGAATTAAAAATAGAAACAATTCATATGAGAGCAAGTTAAGAATTCACTGGGAACATAAAATGATTCAGAGCGATCAACATGAACTCATAACATTCATTTTAAAGGCAACAAAGATAAAAAACATGTTTTTTTCTGTATTTACATTGATTAACAGGGAATGGAAAACAAATCCAAACAAAATCCATGTCTGATGTCAGTTCCATTGAGTAAATATAAATATATTCAGAGCATTCAGACTTTAAAATTTGATCTCTGTCCCACATTTGTGCGCTGTTCTCTCTGTTTCCCCATTCTCTCTCTCTCTCTCTCTCTCTCACTGTGATCACCAATGCACTTCATTTTCAGTGTAGCACTGAGATCCACTGGGGCAGCGAGCAGACAGCAAGGCTCTACTCGTCATGTCCTTCTGCTCTAAAACTAAAACAACAGCACATTTCTGGCCTGACGTGTGTGACATCACCGTGACTGTCACTACACTCGAGAGGCCTGACTTCTGATTATCTTTGAAAATTGTCATGTGACCACCCGACTCCCCAAGAATAAAGTTGTAGCTGGTATACCAAAGTTATTTTAAAATGACATCTATCACACTACTTACAGGATGTGTTTTTGTGGTTAGCTATAGTGAGAAAACAGTTTAACAAAGTGATGCTAGTCAGAGAAATCAGTGAGAAGTGAGACTAAAACAGCAGTACATCAGTATCTTCTTTTACCTACTACAGACAAAGAGAGGACTGTGGGTTAAACTGCATTTCGAGAGACTTCTTTAATATGAAATAATATGTAGATCCTTATTGGAACGTCTGTTTTGTAAGTGCAAAAACAAATTTAGATGAATCTTTACCATAAGGTGGACAACTTTGTACCAATATTTAGTGTGCCTGATTATAAGGCTGAGTGGACTATAAAGGGTACTGTGGGCCGTAGTTTCATGAAGTCTGGTACAAGGCATTCTCAAAGCAGCATACTAAACGGCAAAAGCAAAGATTTAGTCTTCATTTCTGACTTCATCTATTTATCCTTTTTTTAATAAATAAAAAAATCAAGGTTCCAGGGATTGAACAATAACAACAGGGTGATGAAACAAACTTAACCTTTACAATCTCATTTAATATCATGTTTATATTTTGTTTTGCAATGCAAAACGTTTGTTTTATTTAGTTACTAATTTTGCTGATATACTATTTTTTTCCTTCTTCTTTATTGGTAACACTAGCTCTTCATCTAGTAACGGAAACATCGTTTTTACATGTAAAATAAACCAAAACAAAATTCCGAAAAACTTCACTGCTAAATCACTGTAAAATTAAAAATTGATAAACTGAGGTTAATGTTTTGGAATTTAATGATTTAGTTTTACAGGATCCTTTGTGCATTTTGTGCCTTCAAAACAAAAAGTAGCTTTTGTGTTTGTCTCTCATATTGATTCAGGTGAAGATGCTGAAATAGTCGTTGCAAATCCTTGGACGACAGCGCACATTTACGTTTGTGTTTTGGCAGTTGTAGAAGCCCAAAATGTTAAATGTTATCAATGATGTTGCATGTAATGGCACATGTCTGCTCATTTCTGTGAATGGTAACAAAAAGACCTCCAGGCTTCACACACATGATTTATGATCCTGTACGCTGGAGCGGTGACAGCTCTGATTTTCAGCCTCACTTCTTGGTTGTTTGTCTCATATTATTGCTGTTATGTCCAGTGTTGTGCTCCTCACCGTGGTAATTCTTTGTCAGTCATTAAACCTGAACTGATCTCATTATGGGACTTTTATTTCATTGGCCTATTTTGATTGTGACATCTATGATGTCGTCCCTGGAGCCTGCACATGTTCTCACCATAGCAACGATCCAATTGATTGTCCTACTAAAAAAATAAAACAAATAGCCCCCATGTGTCTGCGTTCATTACCTAAATGTCAGGCTGCATGTGCCCGTCATGCTTAAAGAGAAATGCACAGGCTTGTGGAAGGAGTCTATCCATTATTCATGTTTTTGCTGGAACTTTCTACAGGTTCCAACATCCCTCTCTGGCCCATCTCTGTGACTAATGTAGCAGATTGTCCGAGACGCTCAAGGCCGTGGTGGTTTGCTTTGAACAGTTTCTACCACCTCAACGTTGCAGTGTCCGTGTGTTTTTAATGTATGCATACAAGTGCAAAACCCAAGTTCCTCTACACTCAACACCGCGTTTGAGTTCAAACGACACATCCGTATGGTTATATATTCTCTCACTGCTGAACATACGACAGACCGCTCACAAGTATTCACCTTCACTCTAACCTACATACCAGACCCTGGACACGCAGAGGCCTGGAAGCCAGCTCACGTGTCTTCAGATGAGTGAGGGCCAGCTTTTTTTTTCTATTCTCAAATCCAGCAGGAAACAGTGGCTTACAGGCAGGATAAGGAGGGGAGTCTGACTGAAAAACAGGGAGGGGGAAAGTTTTCCTTGGGTATGGGAATGGGCCCAAAGAAAAACACAGTTCAGACTCCAGATGTGAAAGCACCCTGTACACACACACACACAGTCAAATACACACACAAATACAGTCAGACATACGCAAACCCTGACAGAAAAGGAGGAGGTAATAAGGGTCGTAAAGCTGCTGCAGGAGCTACACTTGGCTTCTTGTGATTGGCTGGTTTGATAAACTTATTTTTTTGGCAGATGCACTGTTGAGTCTCAACAACAAAAATTTCAGCCAAGAAAATGTGAACTAAGGGAAATTACAACTCAACACTTGACTTAAAAATTAGTAAATATTGGCACGAATGAAACAAATCAGGGATTTAGAAAAGACTGGTCTACTTGTCAACAGACATTTTTTAAAGAGCGTGATGTGATTCTGTGCCCAGCATTTGGGAGAACGTCAAAATGTTCTATGTACAAGCCCACTCTGACTCAGTGAATGAGTCAGAAAATGACACCGGGGGTATTATTAATCTTTGAGTCTGATATGACTGTGGATTCATTGGAATTTTATGCTGTTGTGTAACCTGCAGGGGGGGGGGGGGGGGGGGGCATTCGTTAGAAAATGGTTGCTAAGATATTTAAGACTGTGATGGAGTCAAGCAGTCGTGGTAAGAGATTGTTTGGAAAAACAAAATCCATCGTCTTCAGCATGTAGAGACAAATTCAAACTTTTTTTATTATAGGTACTGTGAGAATTATATATTTATGCGTTATTTATGTATATATAGTATATACAGTATGTATAGTCCAGTGCGTTTTAGTGTCTGTTATCGGTGCAACAGTGCCGCCCTGTGTTTGAAGGTGGTCAAAACTTGGTCAAAGGTAACGGCAACAATTTTTCTTTCTTTTTTTTTCTTTTTCTTCCAGGAGCTGCAGAGCAAGAGCAAAGTATGTGCTAACGTGTTCTGTGGGGCGGGCAGGGAGTGTGCTGTCAATGAGAAGGGGGAGCCCAGCTGCCTGTGTATAGAGGTGAGTGTTAATGTTAGAATGCGTTGATATGTAATATTAAATATATTAATAAATATAATAAATATATCTAACGGAATTTTTAACATTACAGACCACAATTGTAATGTGGTTTTCTGAACAACTAAGCTGATTTTGGTCATTTTGAACCAGTATTTTTTGGATAAAAGAAAGAGTAGAACAAATTAAATTATCTTTGTGACATGTTATTCATTTGGCTAAATATTAGTAGTATTGGACATACTGTGACATTTTTTCTCATCTCATGGCTTCCATAAGCTAATTTAATTTGATATGTCTATTTCTTGTAAGACCTGCAAGCCCCACAAGAGGTCAGTGTGTGGCAGTAATAGTAAGACGTACAGGAACCACTGTGAGCTCCACAGAGATGCCTGTCTGACTGGCTTGAAGATCCAGGTGGCCCACGATGGACACTGCCAGGGTATGGACACGCAGTATTATAATTATAGTATAAATATTCTGTTGTTGTCTGTTATTTGGGGGATAAAACTTGGTAAACCTTATATGTTTTCAGTCAGCATAGGGTTTAAGGTAAACATGTTTAGGATGTAGCCTAAAATATACAAAATAGACTTAAATTAATTTAAACACACATTTGTCTTTTACTTCCTACTGTAAGTCATCAAGAAAGTTCTGAGTAAAAGTAGAAGATTTTGGCAATATTAATGGAGCAGGTTGACAGTAGGTCATACAAGGCGACTCACTCACCACTGAAACACACACTTCTCCTCCATATAGTTTATCGATTCATCTAATAAAAGCCTTATCTCAAGTGAACTTTCACTACCTAAACTTGGAGAGGTTTCACAGCAGACCTGAACATTGATCGCAGTGGTGGCAGAAGACAAGATAAAAAAGCATTCATTATTGTTATGTCATGCTGTCCTCTTCAGTGACCTTTGATCGACTGCTCAGTCTCACCCAGGCTCATCTTTTTTTATCACCTCCTTGGCATTGATTTGAAAAATCTCCATTTTATGTTTTTTGTTTTCTAGAAAAGAAAAATGAGCAGGCAGCTGCCAGTCCAGGTGAGTTTTTTAAGCTGTTTTTACCCAAGTCACTGTGATGTTTTGCTGGAGGTGTTTATTAAGACATTATTTAATGATGTATACATGGTTTTAACAGGCTTCGAGGATTAAGATTTGACTGAAATATATCTGTGCACTGATGTGTGCAGTACACTGGAAAAACATAAATGAACACTGATGTATTTACACATACACAGGGGGCAGCAGTGAGAGACATGTTGGTCCTTGGGGTGTTGTTTTTAACTGTTACACTCATATCATTGATGCTTCTCCATAGTGGTGTGCTATGCTGCTGACAGAAATGAGCTGAGGAGCCGTGTGATCCAGTGGCTGCAGACTGAGGTTGTCCCCGACGGCTGGTTTGTCAAAGGATCCAACTTCTCCGATATCCTGCTCAAATACTTCAAGGTGGGTTTCTGTCTGATGTTGGTGTGCAGAAGAAGAAAACAACCCTGCGGTCTGTTGCTACTCATCCTTCTGTTAGCCATGTCACTGAATGGAAATATCAGTTAGTAATATTCATACCAACATCAACAGAATGGGAGGGTCCACCATGCAGAGGTCAAGAGTTCATGGCTGCATCACATCCAGATACCCTTCATTAAAATTCTTCATTAAACGTCCAGTTTTTCCACTAGAATGTTTTCAAGACTCAGCTCTCTCCACCTCTCATTGGTGTATAACAGGGTTGTACATGGGCAGTGTCACTCTCCTAATATTTATTTTAATCTTCATCAAGTAGCTAAGCTTTGCTAATATTTGCTCCGTGTATAACTAAACACTGACTCTCCTGTTTCCTCCCATTCATCTGCAGTCCTATGACAACGGTGACTCCAGGCTGGACTCCTCAGAGCTCCTCAAATTCATTCAGCACAACGAGTCGGTGGTGGAGATGGAGTCCTACGCAGACCAGGAGAGCAACAAGCTGCTCAGGTCGGTGTGTTTTATGCTTCTCTTGCCTTTTTTAGTAGTTGGCATCACATCAAACCATGTAAACTTTTTTCTTTGGTAATGTTTGTACAAGCTGAGGCACGTTGACCTGTGCTGCTATTTTAAGTTGTGTTCTGTAAGCCAATGAACCTCTTGCTGAATATTTTCCTAAAGCTGGTCTCCTGGGAGCCAGTGTGACATAAACACCTGTGTGTGTAAATGTAAACACTGCGTTTATTTCAAGAGTCTCAAGAAGTCTCTTCTGAGTCGGAGGATTTATTCTGTTTTGTGTGTGTGTGTATCTCACAGGAGTCTGTGTGTAGATGCCCTCATTGAGCTCTCTGATGAAAATGCAGACTGGAAGCTGAGCTTCGACGAGTTCCTTAACTGCCTGAAACCTGGCTTCAATCCTCCAGAGAAAAGTGAGATTCATGTTCTTTTATTAACTCTGGGATCTGGGAGTCAAGAGCAGAAACTTCTGACCTTTGAACTTTGAGGCTATCTGTGACATGCATTTTTTTATTTCCTTCAAACTTGTCTGGGTAGTAAGTCATGTGTTTTTCTGCAGAGTGTGCCTTGGAGGATGAAACATATGAGGATGGAGCAGAAACACAAGTGGAGTGTAACCGCTGTGTTTGTGCATGTGGCAACTGGGTCTGCACTGCTATGACCTGTGCTGGTAAGTCCAACTAAGGACCGTCATCGTTTAAGAAATTCTGATCATTTACACATGAAGACAAATGAACTGTCATCACTATTTTGGGCATTTCTCTCTGTGCAGAAAAAATTGGAGCAGATGACACCACAGATACTGGAGCAGAGATGACGGAGGAAGAGTGGAACCTCCGTGTGGCTGAACTCAACAAGCACCAGGTCTACCATTGTGTTTTGCATTTAAAATATTGTATTGGTTTCATTATATTATAAAAACATACAGCCATAGAGAAATTTAAAACAGTATGTTTTCAGCAACTGAAATATTGGGTTGATGATGCCCACAACAGTGTGGTGTTTTTTCACTGTAGTTAAATAAGTAAGTAATAGTAAATAAAGTCCTTGAAATAGATAATTAAAGGAGAGATAAGCAGTTCATACAGTATGTATGAAGCAAGAACAAATCCAGTTTAGGTTCTATCAGAGTTTGCAGTTTCATACAGTACACTCTCCCCCAGAAGGCCTGCTGATAACACCTCTGTAAACAGGTTACAGGTCCGCAAGAACTTTTAATTTTGGCTTACTGTATGAAAAAAACTGGATTAAATAAAAATATGGATCAAAACTTTTGTGACTTTTGATTGATATTTCCACACAAAATGCTATGCTCCCATGAGAGACATAACCAACTAAACTCTGCACAACTTGAGTTTTTCTTGTAACTGTAAACATGTTTCCTACTCTAACAATTTTTTTTTTTTTTTCAGGAAACAGTGGAGAAGATGAAGGCAAGCACAAAGGAGGCCTAAATAAGGACAAAATGAAGGAGAGGATTCGCGCCATCGACCTTCGTCCATACTTGATTTACCTTGTGGCCGCTTGTCGTTGCTAAACTGACTTTACCCTGTTTATTATACAGTTTTACAATGTTTAAATGTTTGTGATGTTGTTTGGTAGATTCAGGGGCCATCACAGAGTATTATAGGACTCCCTTGTGTTCAGTACTGTCATATTTGATTGTATTACTGTGCCCCTTACACTAGATACGGGCGATGTTTCTTTCTTCTTCTTTTTTTTTTTTTTTACTATGGTAATTATATTTTTACAATTATCCTCAGTGTCATTTTATCACTGTTTTAAGAATGTGGGAGTCACTGTTTGAGAAGGTGGTGTGGGGTGGGGAGTTCCAGCTGTTGAAAGGTGCTGCTAGAGTACACAGAGAAATGACTGCTTGAAAGCAGTTGCATCATTTTTCCATCATCAAGTGTCAGAGGAAGCTGCGATAGAAGAGGAAAGCTACTAGGGGTTGTTTTATTTTGATGCCATTTAGTACTGCCACAGTGGGCCACAATGTGACCAATGCACTTCTTTTATAGCTTTTCTAGGCTTTAGTTTAGCAGAATTTAAACTTTGCTTTTTATCTAAGTGGTATGGTAGTCTCTTTATTTTCTGCTTTTATGTACATGTTCCCATGTTATGCTCAGTCAAGTCTCTCCGGTGCTCTTTAACACGACCAGTCCAACATTCAGGGTGAGGCTGAAAAAATAAATTGCATCAGGTGAGAAGTGATCTGAACATAGCATGGTGAAAAACTGAAACCAAAGTGATGACGTGTTTGAATGATGTACAAAAAACTCTCCAGGTAACACATTACTCTGGACCCAGCAACAACACTATACCTGTGCTTTTCAAAATCACTCTAACAGCAGGACTAGCCTCACTGTAACCTTGTAGCTTAGAAGCATCATGACTGGGTGCTTGTGTGTGTGTGTGCGAGCGCGTCATGTTTGTGTGGGGGTGTGTGTGATTGTGCTTTTAATGTTTAGTTTAAGTGATTCTTTGTTTTGTTATATCTTGTTTCTGAATCGGGAGGGTTTGACCATGAAAATCAGTGCCTTAGACCTGCAAACAGAACAAGGTCTCTACCTTTGCCTGCACAAATACTCTCGCGCCACACGCACAGTCAGACTGAGTGTGTTTTGCCGAAGTTTAGCAGTGAACTTTGTGTTTGTGACTGTCCCTGTTAAATGGCTGTGTGAGAGCTGCACCACTGCGTTCAAGCTAAACCTCTGTATCCCATTAAAAGTGCAGAGACTGCAACGAACATGTATGTTTGCCAATAAAATCCAATACCACCACCAGAACACGATGATGTGCTTGCACCTGTGCCGAGAGTTCTCTATCTATCTTAGCTTCTTGAAGGTTTAGCTGTACATTTTTGGTAAACTTTTACCCACTTTTAACCTAATTTCTGGGGTTTTTTAATGTTTTAATATATGTGTAATTTAATATAATTTTGATAACCATGTGAAACCTCAGTAATTTCCTGATTGAATTCTGCCTTAGGGCCTCAAAAGTATCTTCTTAGTTTTCCAAAATAATTCTGTGGTGATAATCTGACTTAGATTGCTTTAAAAGATTATTATCTTTAGGTTGTAGATGGCATGAAGCTTTTCTATCTTACAATGACGAACAACCAACGAAGGTTCCCCACAGTGATCTTTCAAATGTCTGTTCACACTTTTGAGTTGATTTTATTAATTTAAAAGTGTGTTTTTTGTTTAACTAATAGTTGTAAACCAATAAAAAAAATCTACTTAGCATGTTACTAAACTATACATATAAAATATTAAACTGTATTTTGTTCGAAATGTTCCAAGTGGAATATCCCCAAACCTTCTATAATTCAGCAGTTTCACAGTGGATCTAGCAACCCACGTTGTCAGTGCTGAATATTTCAGGAGTAACGCTTTGTTTCGTAGATTTTTATCCACTTTTTTTTTTGCAACACTTCAGTTTTCTAGTGCACTCATGGCTTTGGTCCCTCTGTTCCCCCTGCCCTTTGGAATGGATTTAAATCATGTAAAAAGTTGGCCAAAAAGTGAAAATTCTCATTGCCTGGAGACCTTGTACTTATGTCTAGTTAACCACAGTCAGCAGGTCTGTGCACTAAATCTGCTCTGACTTTATTTCCCAAAGTCATCTGACACACCTGTGCAGGAACCTGGCAAGTGCAGCAGTATTTACGATCGGTTCTGTGCCTGTACTCATAGGTCATTTCCAGTATATTATTTGGTAAACATTGATTCAACGTTTAAAAAGGTTACTTATCAGAAGTTACTTAGACTACAAATGCATTTTGTGCGGGAGGTTTTTTGTTACTGAGCAGTCGCTGGATCTAATTCATGTGAAAAGTTCGCCTTCTTCATTTTACATTCTGGGCACATCCGAATTAGCGTCGCATTGCATAATGTAACAGTAGTGAGAGTTGCGTAATCTCAACCGGACACTGGGCAGTTGGAACGACGAGAGACTGTCTGATGTCCTCGTGTTACTGCCACACACACAAGTCTGCATATTCACTAACTAATATACTAACTAACTAACTTCATTTAATTTTACAAGGAAGGACACGTTAAACTACATAAAACAGTGATAAAAGCGGTTAAAGATATATTGCGGATGCTCGTAATGTAATATGACAGATGGCAGGATTCACCAATCAAATGTTAAGTAGGGCGTGGCCTCGCGCTAGCCTAAGCCAATCGCTGAAGGGAAATTCCGACCGTCGCTCTGAAGCTGGGCAGTGATAAATGGCAGCTTCCCTGGTTTGACTGTAGTTTCTTATTCCGTGTGAGAAATTGTTGACCTAGATTAATATTAGAGATGTGGTTAAATGTGACGAGCAGGTGTAAACGAGCGTGTCAGTCGTCCAAGCTGAAAATACACAGCAGCAACAGAATATAACTACCCGTTAAAGCCCACCACGGCCGCTAACTTGCTGCTTAAAGAGTTTAAAATTAGGCTGGAATCGTCAAAATGGAGATTCACGAAGGAGCCGTGGCTGTGGGCGACAGCGTTCTGGACTTTTCCCGACTGAGCTTGAATACTTTTAACGCTGACAGCGTCAGCGACGAGAGGAAAAGGGACACCAGACAGCTCTACTTGAACTACAACCGCTTAGCCTCGCTGCCCTCCGCCCTAGGCGTTTTTTGCAACCTGGAGCTTCTCGACATCAGCAACAACGGACTGGCGTCTATATGTGAGGACTTAACGCGGCTAACAAAGCTGAAAACACTCGTAGCCAAGAACAACCGCTTGGACGAGTTCTCTCTGCCCAAAGAGTTCGGCTCCCTGCCGCTGGAGGTCCTCAACCTTAGCGGGAACAGATTCGAGGAGATCCCGTTGCAGTGCACCAAACTGCAGCGTCTCCAGTCGCTTTCGCTCGGTGGAAACAGACTAAAAAGTATACCAGCCGAGATAGAAAACCTGACCAGGTAGGTCCCGTATACAGTATGTGGAACTGTATAGACTTGACCTCCAGTTAAAGTAATAAACTAATTACTGCCGAAGAGGAATTGAATGTATATATTCAGTTGTTTTTTTAAACTTACATTAGTAGTTTAGTTTTCTTTCATGAACAAAACGTCTTGTTCCATCAAACTGACTTTAAAGAAAAACGTAATGGAGTGCAGTAATAATAATGATAATAATTCACTCCATCCTATTTTTTTTTTTTTTTAGATAAGTTTTAAGTTTTTTTTGAGCAAAATGCAATATGTGGATCACAATGAAGATTAACACTGTTTCAGATAAACTCACCCAAAATTTAGGGTTCATGCAATCTTATTTGATAATTGGTTTAGAAGATAAAAGTGTAAAATGACAGCCCATCAACTGTTGTCAGTTTGGTAGTATAATCTACTTCATTTGTGTCTTATGTGACACTTTTGATAATAACCTATTTCATCAGATTGTTTTTTTTTAAGCAATTGAAATAAAAATCACAAGAACGATTTATACATTGAATCAAAATCCAAAGAAATCCAGTGTCATCTGGCTCATCTGTGAGACAAAATCAGAACACCTGGGCCGTAAGTGTGTTGCCCATATTAAACACAGTTGCTGAGTTGAGAAGCAAGACTAGACTGAAAAAATAATGATTCTCTCTTTATTAGTATGTGTCCTATCAAAAGGGGAGAGTTTGGGGGGAGGAGGGGTACTTGTTTAGGTTAAAATGTATAGTCTTCAGTGTAACCTGATAAGACAGTCTGAAGATTCCCAAAAAAACAGAGTATAACATTAAACACATTTCTCAGCATGATGTCCTCTCATAGACCAAAAAAGTTGGACTCATCTGTTTGTGTAATTGTGTCAGCCTAAAACTCTCACTCTGCAAATTTAACTGGGTGAAAGGTCAAAGAGAAGACAAAGTAAACTACTGGAATAAATGTCCACATAAACCAGAGATAGAGAGTGACAGACCAGTGTGAAATATTTAGGTCATGTTTTTCCACCCAGAAATAAGTAATTAGTATCAGCTGAACAGAGAAACAAATACGGGTGTCTTCAGTAAATGTCCTTATGTGACTTTATTAGAAATGAAAATTTGCTGGTTGCTGGCTGGTTAAAAAAAACCATCAATAGTTTCCAATCCATATTATTTTTACATCCCTGCAAAGCTACCTTATTATCTCAGAAGACAACAGCCACTCTTGAGTAATTGGATTGGCCTGTGTCACACAGTATTAATCACAGGTGTCATTGCCTTTTGTTTCCGGCTGGAAAGTGGATTTTGCTCTTAAATATAAAAAGAAAATTTAGATTATTTTTTCAAGTTGGTGTTTAATGGCCACGTGGAACAGTTAAAGATTGACTAAACTCATTCATAAAACATTTATTAATAGTTCCACCTGTTCTTAAACCTTTTTAAAGGTTGGTCAAGGATGCTGATCCTTAAGAGGCAAACCCTTCAGTTTTAGCTGTTCAAATATGTTGATATTTGGACATAAAGTGGAAGTTCTCATTGTCTGAAGACCTTGTACTTAATCTTCTCTGATATTTTCCTAAGTCATCTGACACACCTGTGCAGGAACCTGGCAAGTGCGGCAGTGTGTACGATCAGTTCTGTGCCTGTACTCAGGTCATTTCCAGTAAATTATTTGGGAAACATTGTGATTCAACGTTTAAAAAGGTTACTTAAACTACAAATGAATTTTGTGTTTTTTTTTCCCTTCCTAAACAGCATAAGTGTTCAACTGAGGAATACCCGCATATTAAAGGAACACAGTGCAACTGTAATAGTTGATGTAAACTGGTATTTACTGTACAAAAAGTATGTTTAAATGTACAGCTGTGTTGCCATCATAATCTCTTTTTTAAAAGTGGATAACTTGTTTATGATGTAATGATATATGAGTTGTTACACTTACTTACCTTGTTAGATACTTTATTTTTCATCTACCTCCATTCCCTGGTTAGGTGCACCACAGATAGACAGGTAGTGAAATAATAACTCTGGGAACTGGTGTAACAAACAGCATTTTTCAAGTACTGCCATAAATTCTAAACTGCAAACTGAGGTCAGGAATACTATCTTTGTCTCCCCAGAGAAATATTTACAAGCTGAGAAACACTTTAGAAACACTGATGGTCAGCTTTAAAAAGCTAATAAGGACAAAGTCAACACTGCCAGGGTTTCCTGTTTTTTAATGTTTATTCTGTTTTTCTAATGTTTTTTACGTTTAAGTCAGCAGTTTTAAGTTGCTGTTTCATGTATGTACTGTTAAAGTGGCAAGTAGCCTTTAAATAATTGAAAGAAAATTACCTTAAAGGGCAAAATCTAATTATTATTGCCATCTAATCACTGGATGTTGGTAGTTGTGGGTTGCAAATGATCCCTTGACCAGGAGTTAAAAACCCCTGATATAAGGGGTGTAGGTGGTGGAGACGGGAAAAGTTAAAGATGAACTGAGAGAATAGAAAGTCCCAGAATTAAGTAAGTGGTGTTTATACCAATACAATTTAAAGGGATGAGTAATTGTATAACTACTGTAAATGGTATTGCCTCATTCTATAAAATATGTGGAAAAAAATAAATAACCTTAAAATACAAACCTTGCCTTCTGTTTACCATGTGACTTACAGTATGTTGGACTGAAGCCTTTCTCTGCTGGTCAACAAACATCATGTTGTTTGTTTTCTCTGGTAAATGTTCTACTAGGCATGGATGTATTTTGTCAGACATTAGATATCAGATTGCCTTAAAATTGACGTACAAAAATATCTTCCCGGTGTCTTAAATAAAGGAATCTTTTTGTATCCAAATCAATACCACTTTTTGTCTACCATGCAAATGGGGGTGGCAGCTTTGTCATTGTTTTTTGTGGGTCTTTTTAGGGTTGTACATTGTCTTTGGTATGCCCTACAACTCATTATTATCCCCCAGTGGTTTGTGAATTTTGCCACAGTTTCAGCGAACGACTGATTTACTGTGTCATCAGCTGCCACAGGCAGAGGAGCTGACATTGTACTTCTGCTGACTGCACAGGCTCCTCACTCCTCAGATCTATTTGCTGCACTATCACCGGTTTATCTGTTTATTCTAAATATCCATTAACCTACCAGGTCTTAATAACAGATGCAAACACATGTCTCTCTACTGCAGTTATGTCATTACATAAATAATAGTGTTCATTTCCTGTTATCATTTGTTGCTTTTAATTTTCTTTATTTAGTATACTTTGCATTATCATTCTGTAGAGGATTTCTCCTCAGGCACAGACAGAAGTCCAAAGTCTAAACATGTCTTTAGCTCCCCCTTGTGTTGAACCCTAAAAAAACACTAAACTCTAAAAATGAACCTTTACAGGAGAAGAAAGCAGTTGGTATAAATGCTGTGCAATTTTTAATGGGATAGCACTTATCAAAATAATATATTTATCCCTATAAGAAGAAACAATAAGTTATGATATGATAAAAGCATGAATTTCATCATGTCATGTGATGCTGTCCAACTTGTCTTTTTGCTGCTTAAAACCAACCAAAGACTGTTCCTGTAAAGTAGGATTCTTTTTTTTTCTCTCTTGTCAGTTTGGAGCTGTTGTATCTGGGTGGAAACCTAATCTCGGCCATTCCTCCTGAAGTGGCCAATCTGCCCTACCTCAGCTACCTGGTTCTTTGTGATAATCGCATCCAGAGTGTGCCACCAGAGCTCACCAGGTAACGGCAGTCTTCCATCACTTACTTATTAGCGTATAAGTCAAATGATGTCAAATTTGAAAGGTAGCTGAGAAAAATCTCAGCAAACCGTAGGATATGTTAATGGGCCACATCAGTGCCTGATTTCTCTCCTCCTGTGTTCAGGCTTCACTCAATGCGGTCTTTAAGTCTCCACAACAACCTGCTGACTTATCTGCCCAGAGAGATCCTCTGTCTGGTGCACCTGCAGGAGCTCAGCCTCCGGGGCAATCCGCTAGTAGTACGCTTTGTGAAGGAGATGACCTACGACCCACCATCTCTGCTGGAATTAGCAGGACGAACAATCAAGAGTCGAAATATTCCCTACTTCCCCCGTGACCTGCCTTCAAATCTGCTACGATATCTGGATTTAGCCAGCAAGTGCCCTAACCCCAAGTGTGCAGGTAAAACAGATATGTTAGGGGAAATAAGACATTCTGATAAAACACTAGAGCTTTTCAGTATTGTATATATTATTAATTCAGTAGATGATCTAGTGGCTGCTAACTGTCATCCTTGGTTCACTTTTTACCTTAAGAATCTAACCTTAACAATTGCTCTAATGTTCTAACATTTTTTGTGTTATTATTTGCTTTTAAAATACAGTTTGAATCTGCAGCTGTGATTGGATGTATTTATGAATTATTATTTGCTCGAAAATACCTATGTATACTAACATCTAACTATCATCATTGGATCTGATTTGTTTATTTTTTCTTAACTTTCTCCAGGTGTCTATTTCGACTCATGTGTTCGCCAGATCAAATTTGTGGACTTCTGTGGAAAGTACCGTCTCCCTCTCATGCACTACTTGTGTTCTCCAGAGTGCACCTCCCCCTGTAGCTCCAACCCACAGAGTGACGCAGAGTCAGAAGATGAGAACAGCGTTCCTGTCGACCGCCTGCAGAGGGTGCTGTTGGGGTAGTAGGGCGGAAAGTAACCTCTGGTGTTGTCACTGTGTTTAGTGTCATTACAGACTCCTCCATGACCTTCTGAGCTGATTGTACAAATCTTGCTTTCACATACCCATCATAAGTATTCATTAACGTCACGTCTTCAGGTGTTTTGTTAAATTGCTCGTATCGTGGCATAACAAATCTCACAGTAAGTCTTACTCCCTGATGTTAAAAGTCCTTCAAACTGATGAGGTGAAAAGCTGTTACTCAGTCGATGGATCAGTACTTGTCTTGAAGTACTAAAGAGAGTATTTGAATGAAGTGTTAATGCTAATGCCTTTACAGGTATTGGTATGGTGCAGCCCTATTATTAACTGTGTAATTTAAACCAGATTGGCTCAGTCAAGGCCAGTTCTGAATACTTTCTGTGTGAACTTTATAGGTATAGAGTAGTTTAACCCACAGACGTTCAGGGAGAGCGAGTCTTGATACTGGTGCTAAGAACATGTGTTGACTCACTTTTATAGTTGTTATTTCTCATGACTGTACTTTTCATAACATGAGTGGCCAAATAATTTTCAGTGTGACTTTAAAACTTTAGATTAATGAATGAGTGCTGGTCCCAAGTTAGAGGAAAGGAGGGCAGCACAACACGCACGTTTGCAGTGTGAACTCAAAAGTTGTAGTAGGTTTGGGGTTTTTTTTTTTTCAACTTTCAAGTGAAGTATTTACAAAGGCATTTGGTGAGCACCAAATGCCTTTGCAAATACTTCACTTTTGTAATGTTTAAGCTCATTAAATGATTCTGTTTGTTCCATAGGACTGGACATGAACAAAGGGTTTTTTTTGTTTGACTCGCTCTAGCTCTAGTTTCTAGCTCTTTGATCAAATTGACATTAAAGATTGTTAAGGAGAAAAACAAAATGCCTGGGACTTTTAAGTATGTCTACAGAAATAGAATGAATGCACAAGTCTGTGATCAGAGAGGGAAAAAAATAGACAGTTTCTCAGCAACACCACCTTTGTTTTTAGATGCTTGTTTTAAAAGTTATAATATGTGTCAGTGTGTAGAAGAATGTTCATCCAGACTTACTCACAGGAAGTGAATGTGGGCTGGACCAGGGAAACTATTCGCCGTGTCGGCCCAGAAACAATAGCTGTTGTAGCCAAACACAGTGGCAGCCTTGGTGTCTATGTTCAGGGCGGCAGGTTTTCTCTGGACTTAAACACACTCTGTGTAGATGTGTGTGAGTGAATGAAGCCTGCAGTTGGAACAAGTTTGTTTTTTCACCATGAGGCAGAAACCTATTGTTAATCTAAACGGAAATGACGTCCGCCTGCCGTTACATCACTGTTCCCCACTCCTCTGTTACAGTACAAGCATTAAGTGCCTTACTTATGGTGACACAGTAGAATGAAAGAAAATGTGATTTTTTTTACCCTTAAATGTGACATTTATGCAACAACATATAAACATATGTATATATTTATACACATATATGTATAAATATATCTTGAATATGCATTAATATATATTAATATAATATTGCATTGAATCATTTCAATGCTTCTTTTACTTATTGGCTTAATCATAACAATAAGAGAAAAAGTTATATTTTATAACACATATGTTTTTATATAAATTCCCTTTTATAATACCATATTTAAATGTCCTGCAGAGTAGATGGATTTAAAAAAATAGAATACAAATGTGTGTATTTTACCTTATTAGAGGGATGTAAGTAGGCTGTACAGTACGTGTCAGATTAATTAATAAAGACTGATTGTAAAATCTTAAAATACTCCATGTTTAAGTGAGTGATTCTCGCTTGTGGTGTGAGTTGCGTGGATGCAACATTTGGTGTTCTGGGCCCAGAACAAGCAGAACAACTGCTGGTCTTTTTTCATTTTGAATAAGTCTGTGTTTCATTTGCATATCCATTCTCAGCTGTGAATGCTGAGAGACCTTTTCAGTGACCTACAAATGAAGGAATGCCAGGGCGAGGGAATTCTTTCTCACACAATCTTCTAACAGCAACTGCCAAGAACTTTGTGCTTTGATATTTTTTTTTCACCAATGTCTTCATTTGTTTTTATGTTCTTTTCAGTGACCTCAAAGTACCTTTAAGCCTGTGGACCATCAGCAGGCATTGGTTTTTGCATCACATATCAGTCTTGAGGCACAGGCTCGTGTCTGTCTTTTCTCATTTCTCTTGTGTCTAGTCCTTAGTAGACGTAGAAGAACATGTTGTCTGTACAGTAGCGGTGTGTGTGTGTGTGTGTGTGTGTGTATACCAACAGATTGTGTAGAATAGGTTAGGTTACATCTAAGGTTTCTGTGAACACACACACACACACTTCTTTGGACTAAGATCTTGTCCGAGGAAGATGCAACTTGAGATGCAACTATGGTTGCCTGGAAGAATAGGTTGTGACTGGCAGGTGCATTTCTAACCAGGACTCTGGAGTCCAGTCAGCTTTCAGAACGATCATTTGAAACACTGGGGTTAAGTTTGTGGTTCTCAAAGTGGGGGACAGAGCCCACTGCAGACTCTGAGCTATTACATAGGTACACAGCCTTGATTGTAATTTCAATTTTTTTGAAACTGAGCCAGGGTAAGAAAATTAAATGTATTTGTAATTTTTTTTTATGATATTAGCTACTGTATGTGTAGAAATAAATGTTCAATGAAGCAGCTCTACATCATCAACAGTGTTGGGGTCCAACAATAGTCCCATTGACAAAGGAGAGCATTTCAGAAAATGTTTAAACCTTTATATCAAAAGCTGTCCTTTTTGCTTTTTGAGAATGTTTTTAACATGCTCAAAATATCTTTACCACTGCTATGCAACATGGCAACTCTGTGATAGGGAAACTTTTGATCACTGCAGTTCAGTGGATGCCTCTTGGTCCAGTTCACATTACACAAATATTCTTAGTAAGAACTCTGTAGATACTGAAACAGCGTAGGTCAGGAAATGGGTTGCTGCCACGTTTGGGCACGTGGATCGTTCAGCAGCTCATGACCTCAGTCACAATATCCTGCTCTCCCCAGTAGTGACTTCCTAAGTGTCTAAGTTGTGACAAATGATGCTGGATCTTATCTGTTATCCTGTTTGGCTGAGGATGCCGCTACACATTTAGCAAGTAATAAAATGGTTCTAAATATACCATAAAATCAACATAATAATGAGCAAACAAATGGGCTGCTGTGTCATGGGACTGGAGTCTCAGATTCTTGAGACTTTGATTTGATTGAGCAAAATCGAACCAACACAGCACACAATATGAGATCAAAATTTAAACACTGGCTACTCATTTAAAATATTCCCCCATGGTACTGAGAGTCTGGAGATTATCAGGACGCAGGTGAGATTAGAAAATCCTCCACCGGAGCAGAACATCCAGCTCAGATTACTGTACTTCATATAATACTCTACTTTCACTTTTTTTTATTTCATTTTCATTTTTACAGTCAGCCATGATCTAGCAGTTCTTTCTTGACACTGACATTGTAATAATTTAGAAATATGAAAAGTCAGCTGTGAGTCTGCTCCTGAGTTGGAGGAGAGTCATCTTCTGATAAAAAGCCTGTGATGCTCATTCAGTTTTTTTTATGGTTTTCAATCCTTGACATTATCCAGCCATCCATTTTCATCCGCTTATCTGTTACCGGGTCGCGGGGCTGCAGTCTCCACGATCACCACCCAAATCACACTGCACCGTACAAGCCCTTCGTGAACCTTCCGGCGGGTGGTGAGTCCACTGGAAGGCGCCAAGGAAGATCTTACCCAGGAGGTAAACCCTGGCGTTCCACACCAATGACAGAGACATTGCCTCTGAGCCAAAGCGCCACATCCTTGACATTTTTACTCACTAAATTATTTTGAAAATACAGACCTTTCAGTAGAGATGCCACCCTCTGTCTGTCTTTTCATATTTTTTTTCCATGTAATCACTGTCATTTAAATCCTAAAGTCCAAAGCAGAGGAACCAATATTTGGTTGTCAGTGGGATAGCAAAGCCAATCCAAGCCTCCAAAGTACGTAAATGTTTTTGCTTTGATATATGTACAGTAGTTGGTATCGTCTGCAACACCACAAAACAGTGCATCTCTGTTAAAATTCTACAGTCGTATCTATTCCTATTACGTTTCTACAGTGCATTTATTGTAACAAGATGCTCTGCTGATCCGTGTCCATCAACACTGCAGGAGAAACCACAGTCTACTGAGGAATTTGTCTCTGTGTGTTTGTTAGTAGGCAAACCTGGGCATGTCTGAGAGGAGAGACCAGGTTCCACCAAGGACAGTGTTCCACCCACGCGCTATTAAACAGCATTGGTAAGCATCTCTATAAATGTCTTGATCTTGATTTAATCACATTTGAAGTCTCTCATTTAAACTGTGCAACATTTTTAAATCATTTTTGCTACTGAATACAGTACAGTGCTGGGTGATCAAAGTCAGACGACTGCCAACTAGTTCCCAGAGCAGAGATTTTCAGTGAAGTTGTGGCCGGCCCACGTGTGAAAATGTTGACTCATGTCATGACGGTCTGATTCACACTTCATGGTTGAAATCAGACTAATGCTGAGATTATCATCGGAAAATATTGATGGCGAATCATATTTTGCTACATGGACGTTTTTGGTCGACAGTAATGGTCATCACATCATCTCTGTTATCAGCCTTATACATACTCAGCACTTGTATGAAATTGGAATTAGAAGTAACTCTAAGATTTATGTCATCTCTATTACTAACAAAAGAACTAACTAACTAACTAACTAACTTTTTTTCAAAAGAAACATGTCATGTTATAGTCACATTTAACCCAAAGACAATTGTGAGAGTCACTTCTGTAACAGTGGTGTATTACACTCTCGACATTGACTTTGCAACAGGAAGGCCACCTCCGTTTTTTATGTTTGATCTATTAAACCACATTGTCCATGACATACATGTAAATGTTCACATTGTTGTTTCAGGGGGAAAAAAGGTATTCTCCCACGCTAGCCTTAAATAAACCTTCTGCCTTCATTTTAATAATTTTCAGGCCTCACAATTTTCTGATATAAATGAACAACAGGGCGTGACAATGTTTCTCCCACATTTATCTTTTCCCACTACCTTAAAATAATAGTTACCCAACAGCACATGTGTGAGCACAGATACTGAGTCACAGGTGTGGACCCCTCCCTGTCAGGAAACAGAGAACTTCCAGCCGACAGTCGTGCACAGCGTGTTAGTCCAGACACTGGTGTTTGTTAATTATAACCTTTTAATGACAGGTTTGGTCCCCGCTCATCTGAGTGGACTGATGTGTCTAATTTCCACTTCACCGTCCTTCTTTTCGACTCCTGCTTTTTGACAAACAGATAAAATATTCAGGATCTCTGTAATGTGAGCCGCTGTCACTGCTCTCCACCTGCTGCTGGTGCACTTTGCCTTGAACCTGATCTCTGGAAGAAACCTGAGAGCCGCTGCCACACTTTGGGTGTAACAGAGCTGGCAACAGTGAAATGCTCCTTTAACAGGCTATACATGGAGTCGTGTATTCTTTAACGCTCAACAGAAAATGTTGTGTTTATGTGAATTTATGTGAATTTGGTTGGCAAAGTTTGCTTGAATTTTTTATGACCTTTGATCTTGTGTGTTCCAAATGCAAAAAATTAAAAAATATCTTGAATATTGAATGTTACATATATGACAGTCCTCAGTAAAGCATGTTGCAGTACAATTGTGATCACAGTACTAGTACTCTAGTACCAATAATGTGTAGATGTCTTAGCTCAGCGTAACCTTTTACCTTCCAGTTTGTTTTTAGTCATAGATTTTTTGATTTTCAGAAAGTCAAACAAAGTTTTCTGACATACTGGAACAGATGAATGAAGTACGGCAATTACATATTATTTAAAAGTTTTCCCTTTGCATCAATTTTGATGATTTTAGGATTATCATTTTCAAGTTTTCTCGTCAGTACCTCGACGTCACCTCCCTGCTGCTGCAAATACGTCCTCCAACAGGTGTAGGTGAACGTAGTACTGTACTACTGTACTTAGTACTGTACAGTATGTGTTTAAAAAGAAACTCCGCATCACAAAAAGAATATTATGGGTTTTTTTTCTACTGTGGTATATTTTTAATCTAATTTACAGACAAAAGCCTAACGTCATACACAGTAAGAAGCAGAGTGTGAAACTGAACCATTTGGACAAACACAAAAAATGTTTCAGGTTTGCACGCACTACTTCATCCTTCCAGCATGAAATCATCACAGAATTCTTAGAAATATTTGTTGGATAATTGTTTTCAGAACTGAAGCTTTTACAGATGTGCACAAGATGATACGTGATAAAGTAAAAAAAAAAAACAAACAAAAAAAAAACACGTATGATTTAATGTGATCAGTAAATGTTTAACGTAAGCCGCTGTGTAGTGTTTTAATGAATATCTGCTTATTGTCATCCTGCTCTAAAGACTCAGGAAGTGTGTGTGCGTGTGTGTGTGTGTTTCCTCACACACAGCTGTGGTGACACTCCCTCATCAGGAATGACGTGTTTGCAGGCTCCCACTGTAAATCTCTGTGACGTCCTAATAACACCTTCATGATGTGAACAAACGCAGCGGTATCTCTGCTGACTGGACGGATGTGCCGCTAACAGAGAAACCAGTGGCTCCTGATGTTTTTGGAAAACAAAACAGAATAAATGTGTTTTTCTTTCCATCAAACGAGAGCTACAGTTATTCACTGTTTGTATTTTACACTCTGCACAGGGAGTTCGGTCCTGTACCACGTCTGCCACCCAGTCCCCTGAGGGCCGCCGTGGAGTGATGCACCCACACACCCTCACGCCTGCACTGTGTGAGACAGACTGACTGACAGAGTGAGTTTCCAAAATGTGTTTATTTTATAATGGTCTCATTACATAAACATTGAAGTAAACAGGAAATGGACAGACCTAAGGGAGATATCTAGTAGTGCTGTTGTAGGTTTGACTTGATCATTGGCCCAAAACATGACTCCAAAAGCTACGCAACATGAGCTGCTTTCTAAAGACAAGAATAGAATCAAATCTAAAATAGTCAATAAACAGTACACATCCTGTAAAGGGGAATTCAGTGTGCTGACTTCTCAGTGTAAATAAAAACATATCCTAGGTTGGGTTTCCATGTGGAGGGCATCCAGTGTCGTGCCAAGTTCAAAACCCCCAAAACAACAACAATAACAATGATTTTAAGTACAATTATGATTATACATTTAATATGATGGTTTCGTTTTTTTTTTCTCAATACAGTACATGGAAGAGAAAGAGAGAGAGAGGCTGAAACACACCTCTCTGTAGAACACTCCTCCTCCTCCTCCACCACCTCCACCTCGCTCTAACCCACGGTGTGTCAGTTTAGCTGGTGAACTCTGCAGGACCTTCTCTGGTCGGAGCTCAGACACCAGCATAAGGTCCTGTAGCCATGGAGGCTCGGCAGTTATGTTAGATACCGCTGAATCCAAACACTTGTTTTCAACACACCTTAACTCATCTGCGCCATGCAGTGTGGAACAGCAGCAGCAGCAGCAGCAGGAGGAGGAGGAGACTGGATCCACGGCGCGTTCAGGATACAGAGGTGTGAGCTTTACTAACTCTATTTATTTTTTACATTTTTTTGTATTATTATTTTTTTTTAATAAGCAGTTTTCCTTAAGAATTCGGGCATGTCGTTACTTTTTTGTTTTTGACTCTTCATTGTTGCCAACGAGTCTGCGCTAACTTTTGCTTATTTACGCACATTTTTTCCACCGAACACGAACTATTATCACTTACCGTACAAGTCAGTGACACTTAAATGCAAAACAAACATAAACCTTACTGTCATCCATAAAAAACAAATTAATATAATAGTGCAAGCACATTATTGAGGAAATGCAATAATTAATTGACTACTACGTGCTAACCGATATCAACTACCATGTCGAGTGAGTTTTTAAAACAAATAAAACCGTCTTCTTATATTTGGATTAATATTTTTTTCTTTATATTACACTACAATATTTGACATCGGTATTAATTTGTACGATGTGTTGCTTAATCAATAAATCAATGACCACATTAGTTTACAAACATTTGAGGAACAGTTAGCAGAGCTACTTTTTGTTAAAATATTTTGTGACTTTTTTCCGCCTTTTGTGCATTTTTTTCTTTTGCGTCAGTTAGTTTCTACTTCTAAATAAATATAAAATATTTTAATGTTCCTTATTTATCTATTTATTTTGTCAACCCTTGAGACACATCTCATCTGAAGTGTGTCAGACCCGTGGTGGGTTTTCAGGGTCGGTCAATTGCATTCTAACTCAGCTTAGAGCATAAACTTGTAAACGGATTACTCACTGAGCTGGAATGTTTTAATATTTGCCCCAGAATCGAGGTTCACATGTGGCAGAGGTCAGCTCTCTCTGATCCTGCAGGAGAAGCAGGGTGATTGACAGGACAATACGTGGGTTTATCTCCTTTTTTTTGTCGAAAGTAAAGATAAAGCTCATACTCTCAAATGTGTGCGGGAGCAGAGGGACCTTAGAGAAAATGTTGTCAGTAATCCGTAATTAATTTCACAAGGTGATGTGGGACAGCGATAACGTATACAGAGGTCAGAGCTGCGCAGCATTACAGACAGACATACTGTACTGGACACAGGTCACACACTGGACACAGTGCCAACCTGGGATTTCTTCACCACACTTAATTGGCTTCCCTTGTTTTTCTCAACTACCAAAACATGTCCATAAAACCCCAGTCAGCTCAGTGGTTTGCATTGTGACCCCCTGATGTCAGTGGACCTTTGTTGACCTCTGCAGGGTTTCTCCTGAGCTGAAATCTATACATGCAGGATTTTCAGAAACTGGAGGAAATGCCTCTCTCTGCTGACCGTTTTCCTGTAGGAAACAGCAGAACTGTGATCTAATATTGGAAAGTGACGAAAGGACATGGACAGGAAATCCAGACATTTCCCACATTTTCTGTCTCCAGGTCTTCATTGTACTAATAACACCATTAATGTTTTGCAAATATATTGTCGTAGCCTTTTACTTAATAGGCCTGGGAGACATTTTAATTTAGGCTTAAAAGAAAAGAAAGAGCTAAAGGTTTACCTTCAAAAAGCAAAAAATCAGCAAAATAATCAGCAACGTTACTTCTGGATAAAAGTGACCGCAACATATTGTTAAAATTAGCCACAAAAGTGACAACAAACTATAAACTATATAAACTAAACTATAGACAAAATGCTAATTGAGCAGAAAACGACCAGTAGTAATAAATTGAAAACTGCTACAGGTATTTGATATTGAAAAAAAAGTAAAGAAAAATTGCATAATGTGTTTATTGTAACTTAAAAGATATTAATATAAACTGGAAACCAGCCAGGGTAGCCTATTTTTAGGGAAAACACTCACTATTGCTGTTGGCCAAAACAAAAACAAAAACCAACAAATATCCTAAGGTTATGAAATATAACAGCCAGAGGTGGTCTGTAAAAGTCAGCCTCTACTAGCTGATCTGAATTGGCAATGAGATCCAAAGCACACACTTAATAAACTCCTTGAACAGTAAAATAGTAGAGCAGAAGGAACTAGATCATAACTTACTCATTCTGTGTTTCCTTTTCTGTCACATCCCAAATGTTCAGATGGATGATTGATCACAGACGTCACACACTCCTGCAGTCTCCCATCACTGACCTTTGACACAATGCTCAGGGTTATCTTAGTCATTCAACAGACAATGACACAACATGATTCTCTAAAACACACTTCTCACACAGACAATCAATCGTCAGCTCCGCTCTGGTGAATTCTTCTCTGAGGACCCGGACCAACAGAAACAGAAACCTGAGTCACGTCAACGTTTAGACTCTGGAGTCTGGAGTAGGTACGGTACAGCACAGCTCACAGCATCATGTGATACCTGCTGCACAATTAAAACTCTGACATGTCAGTGCAGCACAGCCAGACTCATAAATACCAGCGGCAGGAGTGACAAACAGTTGTTTGCTGATACCTTTTATAGTGTCTGAGTTTCAGGTGTATGTGCTGTCAATAATCCGGGGGCGGGAGGTTGAGATGTCCCAGGCTGTCTCTTTGGTGATTCTGTCAGTGTTGGCTGGTTCTTCTCTGCAATGATAGAGTTCCTCTTAAAGTTGAAAAATCACAGCTTTATTTTTCACTTTTTTCTTCATGGAGGTTCATTGAGTTTTTTTTTCTGAACCATCTTTCCTAAATCTAAACATGTGCTGATATGTACTGTAGTATTATTTTTGTTGGCTTTGTATGTCATTGAAAATTACATCCCAAAGGTTTCTGTGAGAGCACCACACAGTGGTGACTATTGGTTCTGCAGCCATTAAGAGCAATTTCTAGCTGTACACACAAGCAGGACCTCATATAAAATGTGTCTTGGTCTCCAGGGTGTTGTAAAGTGATGAGTTATGTCTTTAATTTTCTGATGTCATCACATGCCTCATGTCCTTTTTTCTATACATCTACAGGATGTGTGTGTAAAAGTGGACAGACTGGGAGCCTATCATGCAGCCTGAGCTGAACTGCAGCTCCCACTGTGACTCCCCACTCTGCTCTATCCACTTGGGAGTCAACAGGCAGGAGGGCCTGGATGTACTGCAGAGGCTATGCAGTGTCAGCACGGTAACTCTTCCCTACATGCAGACATGCACGCATCATAAAACTTGCCATGCGCAAACACATAAACACACTTGCGGTGCTAAATTTCAGGAATAGCACAAATATAGCATAAATATGATCTGTGGATCATACATGCACCTGGTGTTGAAGCCCAATAAAATCCAACACTGCTGACTAGAAGTACTGTATGTTTCCTTCTCATGTAAAAGGTCAGACTGTAAAATGATACTCTATATGGTTTGTTGAATGTACTTTAGTTCAAAAGTCCCAAGAAGATAAATGTTGGTACTAATACAGTAGTTTAAAATAGCTAATAGTTAAATGCCGACTAAGAAATGGCAACAACTTGGCAAAAAACCTCCAAAAATGAGCTTATTGGTCACTTTTGGTCAAGTTTCTAGAAATAAGTTCTATGTGTAGTTACTGCCCTTCTCCACACACACACACACAAACAGTTCAAAAACATAGAGGATTAGGTCATTTGTTCACTCTGAACACCCTTAGGTGTGAATGTTAGTGTGAACTTTTATATGAGGCCTGTCTTAAATATTAAACTAGCTTAAATATAGCTAATACTTTGTCTTAAAGTTAGCCTATGCTAGCAGTGTGCATCTGTTTATTTATGTTCTGAATGTTTTTAAGTGTTTTTTTTTTATTTGACATGAAACCGTACTTTCCTATGAATTTGAAAGAAGTGCTCTTTCACACCAGCTTCACTCACTTGTCAATCCAACATACCATACAAAGACACAGTCAGTGTTGATATCAGCCCACAGGGTTGAGTAGAGCAGATTTTGGAATGGTACAAGGGTGGACATGTGAGGCTATGTTTAGTATCATCTCAGTCATTGGTTCATTACAGTGTGTAGAGATCAGTAGTGTGAGACAGTGGAGGTGGAGTGTAATGTGACTTTCAGAATAGATACTGAAGTATCAGAAACTCTGGGACAGGGGTCACAAACAGGGTCTCTGTCGCTCCGTGTTACCGCTCCTGTAAACAAGGTGAGTCATTTTGTTTCTATTTATTAATGAATGTGTTTGCACTGTAGCTGTTCATCCAAGGAGACACAAACTGAGAGCTGTGCTGTGTTTTCGTCTTACAGCAGTAATTAATGAGACTTAAAAACATTTTAATCTGCAGTTTTACCCTCATATAACCAAAAAACCCTTCGTTTTATTGCGTGTCTGCATGACGACAAATGTGACAGCTGTAATGACACATTCTTTGATGATATTCAACACCGTACATTTGTAACTATTCTCGGACACAGGCGTCTCAGCCAGGGCAGCTGTTTTAGGAAAATACATGTATATGTAGAATAGACAAAACATCTTCCGCAGAATCACCTGATGTTTTTTCCTCCTGTATACGTTTCCAGATATGGCGTCGGCGTCCACTCTGCTGTCCAAAGAGCAGCTACTTTGTCCCATCTGTTTGGATTTGTTCGACCTGCCGGTCTCCACTCCTTGTGGCCATAACTTCTGCAGGGAGTGCATACAGGGCTACTGGCAGAGTGCTAAGCTGTCACAGTGTCCCATGTGCAAGCAGAGGTACCTCAAGAGGCCGGAGCTCAAAGTTAACACCTTCATTTCTGAGGTGGCCTCACAGTTCAAGCGATCACTTGAAACGACGGACAGCAGTGAGGGAGAGCGCAGTTTGGACCAGAATCTTTCATGTGATGTGTGTGTTGGGAAAAAAAGTGTCAAGGCTGTTAAATCGTGTCTGGACTGTTTGGCCTCTTTCTGTGAGACCCACCTGGAGCCCCATCACGTTCTTGGCACTTTAAAAAAGCACCGCATCATAAATCCCACGATGAACATGCAGGAGAGAGTGTGTAAGAAGCACGAGAAGCTCTTGGACCTGCACTGCCGCACGGATCAGGAGTACGTTTGTCAGCTGTGTATGAAGAGAGACCACAAGGCTCATCACACCGTTCCTGTGAAGGAGGAGAGCCGAGACAAGAGAGCTCAGATAAGAAGGTTACACGAAGAGGTAGAAACAGTGATCCGCAGTCGAGCGCAGGTCATCGCCAAAATCAATCAGACCGTGAAGGTCAGCAGAGGGAACACAGAAAGAGAGCTTGAGGAGAGCTTGCAGATCTTCAATAAACTGCTGCATCATATCCACAGAGGGCAGGCTGAAGTGTTAGAGCTGATCAGTGAGAAGCAGAGACAAGTGGAGACCAGAGCCGGCAAAGTCATCAGTGAGCTGCAGCAGGACATCGATGAGCTGAGGCAGAAGAGCACGAAACTGCAGCAGCTTCTGAACAGCGAAGATGACTTTTACCTCCTCAAGTGTTTCCCAGCTTTATCCTCTCCACCAGCTGCCAAGGACCGGACGCAGAGCGCTGTAGAATGCGCTTTGTTTGTGGGGACGGTGAGGAGAGCGGTCAGGAGAGTATCCTCACAGCTGGAGGAGACGGCCAAGACAGAGGTGAAGAGGTTGTGTGAGAAGGAATTTCACAGGGCTCAGCAGTGTTCCGTGGATGTAACCTTTGACCCGGATACAGCTCATCCCAAATTGGTGCTGTCGGAAAACAAGAAACAGGTGCATCATGGTGACGTGGCACAGAAACTACCGAACAACCCCGAAAGATTTTACCCTGGAGTCAGTTTGTTAGCGAAGGAAGGTTTCTCCTCGGGGAGGTTCTACTTTGAGGTCCAAGTAAAAGGAAAGACAGAGTGGGACATTGGAGTTGGACTTGAATCCGTCAACAGGAAAGGAGGCAGTGTGCTAAATCCCGACAGAGGCTACTGGACTCTGGGAATGAGAAAGGACAAGAGTTACTGGGCGCTGAGCAGCACTCCCATCTGTGTGCCCCTAGTGGAGAAACCACAAAAGGTCGGAGTGTTTGTGGATGTGGAGTGGGGGCAGGTTTCCTTTTACAATGCTGACTCTACTGCCCATATTTACTCCTTCACTGGATACTCCTTCAAGGAAAAACTATTCCCTTACTTTAACCCACGGAGGAATCATGGAGGCATCAATTCAGCACCTCTCGTCATCCTGCCTGTTCACCCGTCTGCCTGAATCAACATTTTTTGTGTTTATTTTTTTTTAAATAACCAAAAGTATATAATTCAAATACTGCAAAAAAAAATTAAAAAAGGTAATCACAAGTAAATAAAATCAGTAATGAAGTTTACATGTGGAATAACAATATAAAAAAACACAACACAATAATATAAAACAAATAATTAATACCAGTCAGCATAATAATAACAACAATAATAATAGTAATGATAACAACTCATAAACATCCAAAATAATGTAGTCAAAAAAATGTTTGTCGCCCTCAGGTATTTGCAGCTAAAGAACATCATTCATGATGCACACATGGACATACTGGTTTTAAATATTAACAAGTACATGCTGTAGTATGCTGGATGTATATGAGTAACTGGAAAAGTGGGATCAATAGATTTTTTTTGCAAAATTCACGTAGGACCCATGTCAATTACTCTAAATATGGGTAAAGACGAGGAGAAGGTCTGTGGCCAAATTCAAACTCAGGCCTGTTGTCCACATGTTGGAAATATATGTAAGTACATTTGGTTGCTAGTTATTTCAATAAACCTTTTTTACTCAAAAAAAGTTCATATTTGTCTCATTTTGTTTTTTTAATTTAAAAAAAAAGTGCTTTTATACTTAACTCTTAAAATCAGCCTGTGGTTAATCAGGTTTTCAATGATTTCTCTGTGTATATTTCCATACAGGTGTCTGCGGAGCTGCCTCGACGTCCCCTGTCTCCAGTGCTAAGTGCTGTGGTGTGGACGCTGCTCTCTGGTGGCATCCTGCTGGTGTGCTGCTTCCTTCTCTTCACCCTGCGCTTCAAAAACAACAGGTATTTGTGAAAAGTAAAACACGTGCAGCCTGAGACTGTTTTCTCACAGAATAAATCATAAATGTCCTCTTTCTGTCTGCAGGATAGTGAAGATGTCCAGTCCAAATCTGAATGTCCTGACCCTCGTGGGAAGCCTCCTCACTTACATCAGTGGATTCTTGTTTGCCGTTGATGAAAGAACTCTGTCACATGTTGGACCTTCTACATCCCTGATCCATGTAAGAAGAACCTTCCCCTTAAAAGTCCATTACAACTCTCATCCAGTGTTTCACTGACGTGTATTTCTTTCTTTCTCCATCTTCTCCTTCTGCAGGCTCGTGTGTGGACTCTCTGTATTGGTAGCACTCTGGTATTTGGACCGATTTTGGGGAAGACGTGGAGACTGTACAGAGTTTTCACACAGCGACTGCCTGACAAGAGAGTGGTAAGAAAAAAAACATTCAGACATCTTGATGATCTTGTCTCCTAACATTACACATGGCAAATTAATTTGAATTTTATTTATTTATTATCTGCCAGATGGGAATCATAATTAGTTTGTACATTTCTTTCCTTTGAAAGGTGTTGTTTTGAAATGATAGGTGTGAATTGGCAACGGTGGGGAGGGGTCTCGACAATAATGATTAATCAGTGGAGCACTGCAGAAAATGGTTGAAACTGCTGCTTTATGCCTAACAGGAGAATGTTACTAACAAGAGTATGAGTTTTTTTCTTTATACCAGAATATATTTTAATCATATTTTCATTTAAACTGCATTTATATTTGAAATGACTTTGATCAAATGTGTGGCTTTTCTGTCTTAGATTATCCGAGACATTCAGCTGATGGGCATGGTGGCCTTGCTGATCCTAGTTGACCTGCTGGTACTCACTATCTGGAACCTTTCGGATCCAGTCAGGTGTTCAAAATCTGTCGGTGCTGTTGTCAAGGTACTGTATAAAACAGAACTCTGTGGCTTCATGGCAAGATCTAACAAAAGTCAGTGTGGGATGGATATAAATGTTTGTACTGTATATGTGCCAAGCATAACCAGGTGTATGTCCCTGTGTAGGTGGTGGAGAGAAGTATTTTCTACTCTTTATCACAGATGGACTCGTGTTCCTCTGAATACTCTGATCTGTGGGCGATCATTATTGCTGTACAGAAGGTAATGAACTTCCTCTCTTCAACTTTTATATGAAAACAGACACAAATACATTTTAAGATAAGATTAGAAAACAAATGATCTAACATCCTAAAGACGTGCATTCCACATTTTACCTCCAGTAAAAACTTTTCACGCTCCTACAGTGACTAAGGGATTCATTTAGGGTTCACTGTTCTCAAAATTTTCTAGGGTTGTCTCCTTCTCTACGGCACTTACCTGGCTGGGTTGACCAGCAATGTCAGCCACCCTCCAGTCAACCAGTCCCCAACCATCATCACAGCCGTCACTTTGGTCACACTCTCGATGGCCGTGGTCGTGCCAGTGTCCATCTTCCTGCAGACCTGGCCTAACCTGGTCTACAGCGTCTTAGCTGGAGCCATCTTCATCTGCACATCAGCTACAAATTGTATGCTGTTTGTGCCTCAGGTTAGACAAAAAACACACACTGATTGTTATGACAAATGTGTCATGTTAAAAAAATAGTAATAGTATATTATTACAGTAAACAAATAAAAATGATATTGGAAGTCAGGAATTTTGACAAATTCATCCTGAATGGAGAATATTCTACATGAGTGACTCTGCTGTTTCATACTGTCTAAGGATTTAATGTGATGTACCATTACTTTATCTCTTAGATAAAACCATTAGAAAAAGTGCCAACATTTCTAAATGCTACTCAAGGGTTTAATAAGTCGATAATGAGTCACAGTTATTTCCTTAAGTATCATTCTTAGTTTTAGAGCAACACAGTTCCCTGTGGTTTCCCAGGTCATACATAAACCGGTTCCTATAAACCTGAAAAGCTCCAACTTCCTCCGCAGCCAGTTTACGACGGTCAATTAAATGTGAAATGAAGAGTCATTTGAAATAAATCACTGAGTGGTGTCTCCCTTCTCCTTCTTTGTGCATGCCAATTTGAATTGTGCATTAGTTGCGTGACTCACACAATAGGTGTTTATGAGTCAAAATTACGCAGACTTTTGCAAACAGGTTTGTGACGCTGTGTGTGTCTGGCTGTGGGTTTATGTGACATGAAAGGAATGCATCTTGAGAGGAGAGGAAGGAAATATCTGAAGAATGAGTAACATGCTCAAATACACAGCCGATTGTCTGACGTCAGATGGACATGATAAGATTCTGTTATAAATATATGTATGTTCAGCTGTGCCACGTTAACTCCACGGTGAACAAAGTGGAAATGATAAGGAATAAAAAGTATTTTTATTGTAGTTCAGCTTTCACAGCTGCTACATTCCACTTCATATTGACTTCTTTAATCTTGTATGTTGAGGTACTTATACAAGTACTACCATTCAAGGTAAAGTACTGTTGAATGTAAACTATGCTATTTAACAATAGCATAGTTTTCCAAGTACAGCTGCAAACATTTTATTTATAACTGGGATGTATTAATATGGTCACAGGTATTCCAGATACTTCATTCTAGATACTACATTTAAATGTTACAAATACTACTACTTGAATAAATGTTCCAACCATCGATACTCACCTACAGCTTTTTACCACAACCAGCTAGTGACTGGTTAGCAAGACTTACTGTAAGATTTATTCTATTATGTTCTGTCTATAATTCTGATTGGAAATGCACTATTGATGTTAAAGCTCTGCTCACTTTCCTTTCAGCTGGCAGTGTTTACTAAAAAAAAAAACAACCTACTGTGCACTTTCTACTATGCAGAAAGTTCTCCCTATATTACCTATATACATATATATATACATATATATATATATACCTATATAATTATGTATTCGAGGTATTCACCACATGACTGTGAGAATACATTTTATGTTACGGCCTATGAAATTTCTGTCAGGTTTATGCTATTTTTCAATTGCATATTAATGTAATGTAATAACACAGTGGGACAAATTGTCTTCTTCATTAAGCTGTGTATCTGTCCTCTTACAAATTGGACAGTAGTCTACAGGTCAGTGTTTGGTCTTCAACCTTTTCAAATGAGATACTCACCACACAGATGATGCAGTGGCGACAATTTGAAGAGGATCAGAACAACCCTGGTCAGATGGCAAAGTACTTCAGCAGTCCCAGCAAGAGCCAGCCATCTGTGTACAGCGATGATGAGATCTACTACCTACTGGGAGAGAACAATTCCATGAAAAAACTTCTTAATGAGGTACTGCTTTAGTATTTTAATTTTTACCAACAGCTACTGTGGGTGGTTGGTTGTCTTTTTTGAGTTAGAAAGCATTGTCAAAAAGCACTATGGCTGTAAAGAGAAGTTGAAGAAACCCTTAAATAACTGTTAATTCTGTTACTTCACACAACCTGCTTTTTTATTCAATGTCAGTTGCATCACCACTCACAAACTACGTGTTTTTGTCCTTGTCAATTCAACTTTCAACTTTCAGAAAAATGCTGTGATTGACAGTCTCCAGGAGCAGGTGAAGAACGCCAAGGATAAACTGCTGCGGCTCATGTCTGCCAGTCAGCGGTGTGAGGACCAGGACATGGACTCGTCTGCCACCAACCTCAACTCCTCCTCCACTCAGACCACAGAGATTCAGTCTGATGGCCCTTCTTCATCTTCTCTACCTCATGGAGACAGTAAATCTCCACCATCACCTACTCACCACACTGCTGCTGATGTTTCATCACCTGTCGTTGCCCTGTGCCACCGCACTCCAGCCAGTAACTCAAACCCTGTCGCTGTTTCATCGCTTCACTCTGGTGATTTGCCGCATGGGTGCAAATCCATCAAGAGTGGGTCTAATCCTGAAACAACTGACATGGACACATCTGAAACTAAACCAGGTGAGGATGTCCAACAGCCTGTCCAATCCTCTGGAACTCTTAGGACAACTGATGAGACGGTTAAGTTTGTCAATTCCCTGCAAAACCGCAGAGGACTGAACCCCTTCAGACTGGAAACTTTGGGGAATCACAGTGGCTTTACATCTCACATGAGGCCGACCGGCTTTGTTAGCAGCGAGCAGTTACAGGAGATCCTCCACGAGCTTAGTTTGGACGCTGTCATGGAGAGCTCTCTTCGATCACCTGGTCAGAGAACCAGACTGTCCTCTCAGAGGATATTTCCAGAAGCCTCCACCCTCTCCCCTCGTTCCCTGCGAACACCACGCTCCCCTCATCCTCCTGCTATCTTCAATTACCCCACTATCTCCCCCTACGCAATGAGAAAACGACGGCCACCGTTCGGGTCTTCTAGACGAGGCTTAAACCCGTCATGTTTCTACACTGAATGCCGACATACGAAAGAAACCTGTGAAAACCTGAGTCCAGTGAAGAACAACGATGGGGTCACCGGGCCTGGTGTAGTTCAGAACAATGACCAGGGGCCTGAGGAGGGTACGACGGAGGAAACAGCAAAGAATGGAGTTAACTGTCCAACATGTGTCTCACAATCTCATGGATGTTCAGCGTTACCCTGTGTAGAACACGATCACAGGGCTCCACCTGTTGCGGGGGCAGCTGGAGACAGTGGACGTCAACCAAGACACTTTAGAGACTCTGACTGTGGATACTGGGACTCTGACTCCAGCAGCTCCACAGACTACTGTTACTACCACCGCCCGTACTGTGACTCCTGCGTACAGAGGGGGTCGTTCATCACCTCCGACAGCTCCTCAGACTCCTCAGATAGTGAATACGAAGGCTACGCCAGCACGTATCGCTCCCCACACCCAGTGGTATTTAAAGAAGACCTCAAGCCCACGTTTGTGTGAACACAACTGACTACAGTTTACAGGTTTACGCTTCTCTAGTATTACCATTAGTTTTTCAAATTTGCATCTCTGCTGATAGATGTTGTGAGTGTAGCTTTGTGCACATTTGTTCTCTTGAATCTTTGTTAATGTAAAAGCAAAGACCTTTTTTACTTTACTAAGACATTCCATAGGCGCACTGTGTAGGATTTAGTCTATTAAACACCAAAATGAAAGGGTTTTTTTTGCATTATTTTAAAGGCTGAAATATGCATTCAACTATATTTGTAATATACATGTATATATACTATATGTGTAAGATAATACTAATTCTTTATTTATTTTGCTATTTATTAGTTTTGGCGCATTTCCATTCATAAATACACTGTCTAACATGACTTTAAATTAAAAAAAATATATAGTTGAATCATTTGTGTCTTACTTTGACCTGTTTTGATTGTCTTTCTCTAATCTGTCACACTTTAAATTCACTGTTGTTAATGTTTGTTGTATTTTCCCAGTGTTTTTATAGCTGTGCTCACTGAGATGTCACCGTTATGTGTGTGAAAAATAATGTTCCATTTGATCAGTACTAAAAACATTTTTAAACAGTACAATTCCCAGTGTATTGGCTTCTGAACCACCATTGAAAGAATCATTTGTCATTGTACATATCAGTGATGAATAAGCACTACACATTCATCATCTGCATTTAACCCATCCTTTGGGAGCAGCACACCAACAGACAGCAGACATTTTCTGATGATGATGCTATTGGATAGAATAGTCTAAGCAGTTAAGTTTCACACTACACCAGGCATACACTAATATATATAAATATATATTAGTTTATGAACACATTAAATACATTGATCATTGCAATTAGGACAGAACAAACAACTGCCCTCTTCTCTTCTTCTCTTCTCTTTTATGACCTTCTATTTCCTGACTGACCTTGTCTTTGTCCTCTTTGTATCTCTATCTGTTTTTTCTTCCTCTAATGGGAAAATGTGAGTTTGCCTGAGGAGACATACACGTATGAGAGGAAGCGGCATCTTCCATTACTGCAGCCTGGTTGCCTGCTCTGTGCATATGAACCAATGCCTGGGAGAAATATCCTTGGACATAGAGCACAACAGAATACAAATACACCAGACAAAAGACGGTCGACCAGCATTAAAGACGGTCGACCAGCATTATTATTCTGGAAATGGAGAGAATTCCCTGCCATGCGCAGATAAGTGACCTCTAGTTTGTTCCAGAAGAGGTGATGGCACAACATACAGCATGTTGACATCATTTGAAACCAAATTATTTCCACCATAGACGTTAGAGTGGGTGCTGCTGTAACTTGTGGTTTCATTTATGATTAATAATTAATCGATCTGTGCTTTCTTATTTAATTTAAAAGCCATTAACGTGAACAATATTGAAGACTGGGTAATTGTGTAGTCTCTGTGGACGATTTTTGCTGAAAATGAGCTCGAAAAATATAATGAAAGACTATATGTAGGGTTTATTAACATTTATGAATCATAGAATTTAAATCAATAAGTTTGAAACAACCAATCACAACACACAGAAAACAAAGTTTGGACACTTCTATTGTCTAATAGTTGTTCCAGAATAAAAAATAAATGTATATATTCTTGAAACAACATTTCCACACATACGGCACTGAAATTTACACTGATGTCAAGTCACCGTGAGACCAAATGGATGTCATGAACGAGTCCGACTGCACAGATGTGTCATCTGCCACTGGGTGTGTGCGTCTGTGTTTCTGTTCCACTGACTGTGAGAGTGAGAAAACAAGTATGAAGGAAAGATTAAATCAAAGTACAGCTCATGCTGCTCTTTGAAAAAAAAAAGCCAGTCAAGCAGTGTTAATATCTGACAGCGGAATGGAATTCCTGTAACCTGTTGTATGGACGGATGCTCAGGAATGTGTGTGTAAGTGTGTGTGTGTTGCGAGGAGGTTGTGGGGGGAGGGGGGGGGTCTTTCCACATTTAACAAACATGCATCAATTTAATTGGACACAAATTTGACCAGTGGTTAGTGAAGTGTCCAGGCTGTCTCCTACTGGGATTGGCTGCAGCTCCCATACAAACCTGATGAAAATGAAGCGGCAGAGGATGGATGGATGTCTGAATGGATGTGTTCAGGGCCCATCTGTTGATTTTAGTTTTGGATTTATGTCACTTACTTGGGATTTGATTGATTTTGTTTACACCCTTGTACTTACAAGATGGCAACACAGCTTTGGATTAGTATTTAATTACGGTACTTGCCTTCTGTTTGCTTTTCATACACAAAAAGTATGTGGCAGCATATAAATGTTCTACAAAAAAAAAAAAAAATCAGATAGTGCCTCAGAGCTGATAGGCTTAATCAGCAATGTTCAAACTCAGTGGAAAACGATTCGGCTGCTCTGATTCTTGTGTCCCTTCATGTTTCCACGACTGTCTCTGTCAGCTCCGTCAATGATTCATCTTTTGGAATCTTCCATGAAAAATGTCTTCAGAGCAAATGTCTCTCAGCAATTTCAGCCTTATTTCTCACTCTGATATGCTGATTCCTGTTCATCTCAGTGGTTTACAGTATACAGTACATCTTAGCATTTTTATTGTATCCTTCTGTCATTTGGACAAAACCACTGTCTTTGAAAACATACATCATTAAAGATCTTACTACTGCCTTACACACTTTATCTGAAATGTACGTACACCAAATTTCTGTTTTAATTTCTGACCGCAACAGGACTGTAAATATACTGTGTTGTCTGTGTTTGCAATAATTTAAATCAGTTGAAAAGAACCAACAACAAGATCCTTGTAATAAAAATCACAAATTGACATAAGTACAAAATATGAACTGACATTGCAGAAGTGACCCTTGTAAAGCCAGATGTGGAGACAACAAGTATTCATATCAGATCTACAAGTTAGATTGAGTGCTTAATATTTTTGTTAAAGTTTTTATTGACATTCCAGGCTAGTGTTTTAGTAACGAGTGCAGTACAGAGGTAGGTTAGGAGTGGACGCTTTTAATCGACATAGCAACAGTGCTGCATGACCGCCGGTACACGGTGACAGCTGGCTCCATTTGAACTGACAGCCTGTGTTCCGGGTTCCCACTGGTCCACACAGTCATCAATCCTGGGCGGGGACCCACCCCTTATCCCTGTCGCGGCACTGGGAGAGAACCTTTGAAGTGAGAAGGGAGGTGCCTGGGAAATTATGCCATGTGGTGTTCAAGAGTGGACGTCTGATTGGACTAGGGGGAGCAGTGTAAACGCCTATTTTTGAAAGATACCCCCTATGATTGGCTGAAATGGAAACTCCAGATTCGCCATGTGCGCGTCCACAGTTTTGCAATTCTCTTTTGTGCCCTGCGTCTAAAACGTGAACGCCCTCCTTAGTCAGTTTCAGCCAGAACGCCAATTACGTGTGTTTTCTGCGTAGCGACAAAGACAGCGAGCCCGAAACCTATGGGGAAGGAATAAAAAAAGAAATTTGGTTTCGTCGCACTCTGTACTCGTAGTCCTTCGTATTCGGAAGAACCTGCCACCCAGGGGCAACGGTACGGAGACGGAAATTTGACGGCGATTTTAAAGTTAACACTACAATTCTGAATTCGCCGTAAAAGACCGTGTCAACTGGAAGATTTTTCCCTCCCGTTGAACAGTCTGTAGGCTAGGGTATAGCGAGGGAGCCGCCATGGCAGTCGGATCATTGAGCCTCCACATCGGGATATGAAGAGGAGCTGCATGTGTCCCGAATTGTCAAGAAAAAAACGCCACATTTGCCTCTGATCCGCTACGGATCGTTATTCAGAACATCTGATCGTAGCCTCCTCGTGTTTTTTGACATCGTTTGTGCCTCCTGTTGGAAAATCGCAATTGGTTTAAGTCGAGGGGAGCCAGAGGGAGAGGCCAGATTCATGACTATTTTAGTCGGAGACGTGTCTTCAGAGGCCCACTCAAGAGAAAACCTGGACTATAACGAAGAAATGATGCTCTGATTGACCGCTGCGGGGACAGAACGGGGTAGTTTAACAGGCGACGACGAACTGGCGTGAAGGAACGAGGGGAATCAAAAAGCAAGGGCTTCTCTTTACTGCCTTCCCCCCCTGTGATCTACACAGATATCTATTTTACTGGCATCATCTTTGGATGAGAAGGGTCGGCAAATCAATCAGAGCTGCCTTTTAGCAAGTCACAGTCTCAGAACGAGAATCAAAGGGATCGGATCATGTCGGGTCGGCCCAGAACCACATCCTTCGCAGAGAGCTGCAAACCAGTGCCGCAGCCTTCAGCTTTTGGCAGCGTGAAAGTCAGCAGTAAGTACAAACACTGAATTTCAGCAGTAGCCCGTGTCTTCTGCATGCTCAAGGCTCAAATGTGGTGCGTTATTTTACTGCTTTAAACGTGTGGCAACGATAGCTTAGCTATTTTGTTAGCTGTTTGAATGGCTGAGATTGGCTGACCGAAGAGCTTTGGTGCACCGCCCCAGGGCTAGTCAGTCTGGTCAGGGTGAGCAGGCCGCACCGGCCCGGCAGTGCCGTCAGGCCCCGCACACGGGTTAGCACTGGCACCGACCCAGCTCATAAACCCCAACCGCCGCAGATCCAACGTGGTTGTGGTGCATTTGAACGTCGAACAGATCCCACTACACGCTGCCAAACCGTGTGCGTTCGGAGGTTATAGCGGTAGGGCCGGTGTGTTACGCAACTGTCAAAGCGGAAGGTGCGCCCATAGTTGACTCGGCTGAAACTGACGTGATCGTGGAAAAGGGGCTGGTTTACGGATTCTATATTTTCTGGGCTTTGTCCAAGTCAGACGACGAGACGACCTGAAGGAGTGTGACACATTATCTCCTGTTCCTGTAGTGGCACCGTGGCACAGGCTGCTTTTAGACAGTCTGCAGTGATGAAGAAGCCATGCGACTGCTGAGGCCTACCTACTGAAGAAGCAGGCTGCCACTGTCGGTTCACAGACTTGTGATAATTTATGCAGGAACTATTATATATATTCACCTGTATCTCATCTTTGTCACAAACCTGCTTCATAATATCGAATTCATTTGAAAAGAGAATGCTTGTACACGTGTCTACAGTTAAAGGTCTGATGTCTAAGGGTTAGGAGGGTGTGTTTGCAAAATTGATAATAGCCTAATTATAATTGTGTGAGTGTAAAATTAGATATTCTCATTTAAAGAGGCATTGATACATCCTACAGTTACCCCAACTTCTGTCCTGTTTAGCTTGGATTGGCCCTCCCTTCACCATTATTGGTATTAGTCCTAGCAAATATGGTGCTAACTTATGCTTTTAGATGCATTTATTGTATAACACTGACCCTAAGCAGAAATAGTTTCTGTCACTTATATTGTCATAAGTAGTCTTCACGTCAGTGGCCACTGTGTTGGATCACAAACATTTTTACAAAGGCCAGCAGTCATCAACCCTAATGCTTTTATGTAAATGTCAACTAAAGTCTACTGTCTACCTACAGCACATGCTTCTTGACATGGTAAGTTGCGAGATTCCGCCAGATCCAATAACATCACTACTAAAAGGAACTCAACCCAACACCAGTGGTGCATGTAAATCAAAATTTATTTTCATATTGGTTTCTCTGTAAGAGAGACACAAAACTCAATTTTGTTTGATTAGGTAATAAAAAATCATAATATGGTTTTATGTGCAACAGTTTGTGTAACAGGATGTTTGAAATAAAAGGTCAATATAGTATATTTGTGCATGTTGGTACTTAACAAATGGTACTTTATCCAATATGTACACCTCCTTATATTGTTTGATTTTTTGATCAGGCTCAGATCAGGCCTTCAGAAGATAATGGTGTGTATGGAATTATCATATCAAGACTGTGCTTGATAAACTCAGTAGAGTTCATAAAGAAAATGTATTGAGTAGGGCTAAGTGTGATTAAGTATGGGATGGTTAATTGAAATAAGTGTTTGTTTTTCTTAAACATAGACCTATGTGTAATGCAATATATTAAAAATGAGGTTCATATAAACCAATCAATTTAATGTGAAAAAAGAATAAACTTATCCTTGGCATCTGACAAAATACTTTACTATTTTGTCAAACGTCACCTAGGACTGACCCCATTCATTGACCTTTACTTGAACACTATTTAGTAGATAGGTGTGAAGTGAACTAAAATGGTCGGGCACAATATAAAAGTTGTGACATAACCGTGGAATTAATATTTAACCACAACACCCTGACTAATGACAGGTATGATTAGAAATATCTGCTCCCGGCTACACCATTCTCTTATCTTGCATGCAGACACATTTGGGTGTGTGTGAAGGGGAAAAAAAATTGAGGCTGTTGTTGAATCTTGGTGATGTTTCAATGCTGTGATGTGGTCATTATGTGTGGAGTGGAGGTGGACCCAAGGCTGAGCCTCTGTTTCAGGCCCTGGCTCTGAAAACCTCTTAGTGGACGTGGAACTGGAATTGTCCTGCCTTGGATGTTCAGTCTTTATATTGGATAATGAATCGCAACGTCATGAAATGTTGTACTAGTCATTCAGCTGTTAAATGTGATTGTCATTAGTAGAATTTCAATTGAAAAATAAGTTGCCAAATAAACAAGAAATGCACATGCAATGACATTGTTCTCCTCAGACCAGTTTCTCTTTGTCTTGTTAATCAGAGGGTAATAATTATTCCTAAGACTCATCTGGTTAGCCAATATCTCATTATTTGCTGTTAACTGAGTTGTCAGATTAAATGGATGTTTAATAATCAGTGTCGTACAAGCAGGTGATGATCAGTCCCAGAGGGAAATGTGAGTGGCAGATAATGGGATTAACAAGAGAACAGCAGAAAAGACTCACTCCTGAGGTGTTTGGATGATAATGTTGATCAGGACTTGATGTTGTGTTCCTTATTCAGCTCCAACCTCCAGCTTTGATCTTCCTGTCTTCCTTTGAAATACATTCTTAGCATTCTGAATGTTCATAAAGAAATTGTTAAATGAGATATGCCCAAAACAATATTTAACAGGGTTATTATGTTTTGCATTCCTTTCAGTGGTTCATCCCAACCAAACACAGAAAAGAGACACGCTAAAAAGACTTAATGTTTGATAGTAAAACACCACACAAAGCCTTTGTTAGCTCTACTGCTGTTAATCATTTTTGGTGCCTGACTTAAATTGCTGTGAAAGCACAGTTTAATCATGACCTAATGCCCTGACTACAGTCAGCACAGGATAGGAGCTGAAGGAGACGCATGAAAGCTGTAAATAATGGCTGTGACATTAGGGCGGTCATGATGAAGTAATGCTCCTGCAGTCATTTGTAGTATCTTATTATGCAGTAATGTGTGGTCTCTGCTTGATAAATATCTTCTTTAAATCTTTAAACATAAAAATGTATGGCTATAAAGTTTTGAAAACTGTTGTTGTTCTCTTTTAAGAAAATATTGTAATGGAATTATAACAAAATTCTAATTGGCCTCTGCCCCCAAACACCATCAGACGATGAAAGGTCAAAACGTTTTAGGTTTGAAACTTCATAATAAAAAAACAATGAGAAAAAGTAAATAGTTAGTAATAGGTTAGATCCCATGGGGAAAGGTTTCTTTTGAATACCTTGTCTATGGTATTGATGTCATGATATATCTTCAATGCACGTGATGCATTACATAGTCTTTCATATCTCCAGGTATGTCATATCTATCGGTATCAACCATTAGAAGCAGGAAGTTATTGTGAATTATATGTATATGGTGAAGAAAGAGAAATGGAGATTGATTTTTGCATTTTTAACACAGGGTCACATGCACTGAAGGCCCCTCTTGCTATGACACCTTTTCTTTACTGCTAGTTTGACCTCATCTTTTTTTTTAACAAAATAAAAAAAAACTCTGGACAATAAAACAGCAAATGGTTTAGGATCTGTTCACTCTTATCAAAGCTTAGTAAATGCTAAAAATCAAAAGCCTTATGTTTTGTCTTTTTTGATCAACCAAATGTACAGTATATTGCTAATTCAAGATCTAAAAAAAATCATAGTCCATACAGAATCGATGAACTAGTTTGCTAGTTTTCAAATATATTTGAAATGTAATAAATACTAGACACTGATGCAGCATTTTTTTAAAATAACTAGTGTTATCCAATGTTAAGAGAGTTGCATTATTTCACTGAGTGTTAAGAACTCAATAAGGTTTTAATTTTAAGTTTAATATATATTAATATATTATATTAAATTTAATAAAAGGACGCCAACCTGATTATTTTAGTCTAAAGTGAAAAACAATGTCAAATTCTTATCAAAATCCCCAAATCTCTGCCGCTGTCCAAAGACAACAATTATTTTGTCCAGTTTGAAATGAGATCACACACATGAACAACAACTACCAATTAAAGCCAACAACGTGTCATTAGCTACACATGGCAAATACAATCCTGCAAAAGGTTAGATGTGGGTTCTTACAACAGCATATTTTTAGTGGATACAGATCACTGTTTAGATTTAGCAAGATACAAAAACATATAAACAACTGACTGTCAATATTGTTTATTTTTGTACTTTTGGAATAATCTATGCACAAATATCTTTCTCAACAGATGGCAGAATGATAACTAATTGCCATTTTGTATGTCTTTAAATATTCATTTTTAAAAAATAACAGCAAACCTTTGTTTAAGCTGAGTCCCTAAAAAAGGTACCAAAGGAATGTTTATACCTTAGCTCCATTTTTTATATCTACACATGCAGTGTTTCATGCAGACATCTGCTTGAGTATCTTGGCTGGTGATCTCATGCAGCTGGAGCCAGTCAGATCTAGAGCGAACACGCCTACCATCCCACACAGGCACACAAAAACGTACACACATATACATGTATACGTTTGCACACACACTCACATAAGCACTCTTAGATGTTTTTCTGCGAGGCAGCTGGCCAGAGCAGCTTGTTTAGCATTTCAAAGCAGCAGCTTTCCTTCCTTTATTTTCCTGTCTCATTACCTTTTGTCTTGTAATTAGCAAATGATGAATGAACAGAAATAGCTAATACTTTCTTTTGATTTTTAAATTAAATCCAGGAAAGAAGAAGCTGAAAAGGAAGCAGGATCAGAGGTGGAAATCTCTGCCCAGTCTGCTTCTGTGTAGTTGGCTTGTTGGCACGACCGGGTGACTACAGCTTTGCAGGCGGCACACAAGTCTAATATTTACAAACCTATTTTGTTAAAAGCCACACTGCCGTTCCCTGATGCCTCAGTGTAAGCAGGGCTTGGCCCAGATTTGTATATGTCAGCAGTGACGCTCATGACATGACACGAGACGTTTCCACAATGCAGTAAAGGATCTCATCTGCCACTGAGATACTTTGCATAAATGTGTACTCTGTTACATGCACCCCGTCGCATCAAACATGCCTTTGTTACGCTCTGTAGTTTTGAGGAGTTTAGGCTGTTGTACGTTCCTCAGAAATGTCACTTTGATCTGGAGCTCACAGCTGCTACACACCAGTCCTCCAAGATGTTTTGCATCTGGGATATTTTGAGAACTACAGCATTGTTACCAGTTTAGGAGCCATTATTAAATTAAGATGACTCAAATTTAGTTTTAGATTTGTGGTGTGGTTTTTTGTATATATTCATATAATACATTTCTGTTGCCAGTATTACTAGTTCACTGCACACTATAATGGCATTAATCCTTGTGTTCAATATCCAGATTACTATTATGTAACACCAGAGATGTCCAGAGAAGTCTTTTTTTCCCCCAAGTCAGGTCGTAACTCTTTGTACTTGATTCCAAGTACTGAGAGACTAAAAAAGACCTCTCATTGGACAGATGCTATTGTTCTTAAAAACACTGCATGTATGCTAGGCTATCATCTGTTATTATTAATGTTATTGCAATAAATGTCAATACTTGTATATGTGCAGTTTGTTTATATCCAAAATACTACATCTACCACTGTAATGTTAAAGCTTTTAGAAATTGTTCTATGCATCATTTTGCATCGTCATCTGTGGACAACTGTCTGGAACTGTGTTTACATCGGAACTTTTGGGAGGCAGAGTAAAAGTCAACTAATGCTAATGCTTCACATTACAGCCTTTATCCACATTTATGCATCACAAACAGAAGTATCTCTGTTTGTTAAACCAACAGTACTGTAACTGTGGAGTTGGTGCCTTGTTGCAGGTTTTAAAGTTTGGTGTAGGAGAAGTAATGTAACACTGGGTGTTTTCAAACTGCTCAGTCTTCATGTTGTTAGCACGTTAGCTTTGTTTAGTGGTCACTAGTGGACTGCACAAGCCTGGTGACCTAAATTAACTATTGATGTCTTTAACTAAAGTTCCTAACAGCTGTGTATCTACTGCCCCATGTGTAATTGAGTAATAGCACATGCTTTTTTTCCCATCATGTCTTGGTGGTTAGCATAGAAAAATGTTGATAACTGTCTGCCACAGTGTACATGTCACACTACTATAGCTGAGTTCTTCATCTTGAGTATAATGTAGTATAGAGTGTGACTGTCACACAGGAAGTGGAGGTAGATCTGAACTGGTTGTGATTATAAATCATTTATAGTTGTATGTAAGAAGATTGATGGATAAGAAAAGTTCAGATTTGATCGTTTATTTTGTGAGAGTAAAGCCTGTATAGGCTAATCTGTAGCAGTGTAACAGTGATGTCTGGAAAAAGGTCATGTGTTTTGTGCGCAAGATTTGTCTGTTGTCTGCATGTGTGTGTGTACATGTGCACTTTTCTCACGGTCAGAGGAAGTGCAGAGGCATAAGAGAACAGGCCATTTTAGAATATGTAAGGAGAGTCAGATTACTCTCTTCACGTCATCCAATTCTATTTCAGTCATAACAAACGTCCACTCTTTCCACTGTCTCTTTCTAGACACTTAAGTGGACATTGCACAATTTGTGTCCTCAACAGTTAAGGTTTCGTTTATATCTGTTGATCTGTTGTGTCCAAAACCAGGGGGCATTAGGAGGCACACTGGTATGGCTTGTCTGGATGTTGTTGGTGTGAAAATATTCAGTCACCTGTTGAGATCATTACTTTTGCCCCTACGAGGTGGCAATGTTGTGCCATCATTCTACCTTGCTGTTTTGTAAGTAAGGTAAACCTCAAACCTAAAGGCAGCAGCAAATCGTTTATTTAAAGCTCATTGGAAGGACAGAGAGGTTTCCTTTGTTGTATTGATTGGTAGAAATACAAATATGCCAATTCTAGTATAATTACAATTGCGTTGAGTTTTGTACAGGAAATTAGCGTTGAGTGTCAATGGTGATATGTTAAATAAAAGGGATCAAAAGATAGAAACAGAACGGGCTGTGATGTACAGTGCAGACACAGTGGCACTCACTACAAAGTGCTACTTGGCAGAAGAGCTGAAATTTGCAAAGAGAAGATGTTGAGAGTGAAGTGAGAACTGAAACGTTTAAAAATGTGCTGTGAGTTTTTGGATATATTTGAGAAGTTACCAGACAAGAGAAGAATAATAGGACCATAAGGTTGTCCCAATTAACAGAAGTTTACTTTAGTACAAAAGGAAAGGTTTATCTATATTAAACAAAACATCCTCAAGCTTCAGTGTCGCCCCATTGGATCAGAAAGTGAGCAGAGCTTTTTACACCTTGGTGTAACTATTTCCTCCTTTCCAATAAATGTGTTCTAAACTGTGCAGCACACATTTAAAATGAAAAATACTTACATGCACCATGTTAGTTAAATAACACTCAATAAAAAAAGTGACTTCATCAGGTATAAATGACAAGAGGCATTAGCATAATCAGCGCTAACTACCCATGAGGGTAACATTTGAGTGAATGAAGTATCAGCCCTGATCAGTATCAGTGACAAGAAATTGCTCTGGCAGTCTTTCCTGATTTTTGCCCAATTTTCATTTTGTTTTTTATTCATCAGTAAAATGATTGGCTGATATTTGTATTACCTTTACATAATTTTAATATCTCTCTCTATATATATGTTTTTTAGGGGATAAGGATGGAAGCAAGGTAACAACAGTCGTGGCCACACCAGGCCAAGGCCCTGACCGGCCACAGGAGGTGAGCTACACGGACACAAAGGTCATCGGCAACGGCTCCTTCGGCGGCGTGGACCAGGCTAAACTGTGCGACTCTGGAGAGTTGGTGGCCATTAAGAAGGTCCTGCAAGACAAGAGGTTCAAGGTAAAACATGAACTAAATGTCTGAAACGTTTGCTGAACTTTCTTTCTTCTTTCTTCTTTCTCTGTCAGTCAAAAAAAATGTATGAAAAATAAAAAGACGGTACACACAGCACTGTGCTTGTTAGTTTTTGTTAGAAATTTGTTGCATCAGTGCGAGAGAGTAACTGAGAAAGGCATGAAAGGAATGTTCTTTCACAAGAACAGTGAGATCACAGAAGCTGCAGGTTTAAAGAAAAACAACTCTTACATTGTTTTTCTTCGACATACTTCAGCAGTATTTCACCACAGAGGTTGTTTGTGTGTAGTACTGGTGGTAGTGCCTGATCTCCCACAAACAAACCTGAAGCCATTAACTCTCATCTGTCAGACTGGCTTCAACTGCCGTCAAGAACAGTCGTATTTCCTTCTGAGCAAAGCTTTGCTGGAATCCCTCTCCTGTGTGGTGAACACGTTTGACTGATGGCTTGTTGTTCCTTGGTTGGAGCAACATTGTCTCTGCTCCCCTGGTCGGGGCCTCAGGGTCTCTGCTGCTTTTTCACAGCTTGGAGATGAAAGAGTTGAAGCTGCCAAGTTTGTAGGGCAGCTGTTTGGTTTCTTGTTAAGTTTTATACCCATATGGGTTAGTGATGGGGCCAGGGTGGATGTAGTCTAAGGGCCTCTTTTCAATGAAAGATAACAACAAAGAATATATTATTACTATTTATGTGTATTCTTACGTAAATCACTCTTTCAGGAATTAAATGCTTGATCCTTTGTGCATGCATGAAATAATAGTAGTGACGTAGACTCCCTTTAGTATAAATAGAACAATGATGTTCTTTGTATGCAAGTGGAAATGATTAGTGTCTCTGCAACACAGAATGTGAAAAATAAAACCCAGAGCTGACGTAACATGTACCATAGTTTTGATGTGACCAGGTTGAAGGAATGTTCAGATGGCATGATACGTCTTTCTAGTCTGGCACAGTACAGATATTTAGTGATGGGAATTGTTTTTGTAGGTGACCGGTTCAATTCCATGAAGTCGTTGGTCAGCTTGCTCAATGATTCCCCTTACTGATATGTGGAGTTTTGCCAAGGACAAAGCAGAAAAAAATCTTCTGCATGCAGAAACATTTGGCCACACACCATGCAATTAATTTTGATTGGATGAAATACCAACCTTTTATGTATACTTCACATTAATGTGTCGATGCCAAGAAATAATTTGTCTAAACCAGTACTACAAATATTACATCCTAGAGAATCTACAGGTTCTTAAACCAATCAGCTGCCAGTGTTGCTCCTCTTGTTCGATCAGTGCAACAAGTACTCTGTTTGATAAAGGAAGAAAAAAAAAAATCTCCCAAGCTGTGACAAAGTCAGCATTTATAGCTGTTGTCTACAACATTGTTTCCCAAAGACTAGGTGGCGACCCTCAGGTGGGTTGCAAGAGATTTTCTTTGGGTCGTCTCACATCGTTCCCAGGTTTTAGTTTATGAATAATGTCTATTGACTTGGGTCGCGAAGGTTTGTGACTTTTAAAATATGGATCCCCAGAAAAAAAGTTTGGGAAACACTGATCTACAATCAATTGTTAATCTCCCATAGCTTTTAACAGCATTCTTGACTGATCAGACAGACTCAGCAACAGCATTCAGACTTGGGTTAGAATCTGTTGTCTTAATGCAGTCTTATAGTCAGCTGTTTTTTTTTTACCTTGACATGTTTTGACACTGAGTGTCCGTTTTTCTCAGAAGTGTCACTAGATGTTAACGTGTCGTATCCTCAGACTTTTTTTTAAATTAATTTGAATTAATCCAATCGTCCACAAAGAGCTGATAACTCTTGCCTTAAAGTTAGTGACTGAATTGGTACCTGCTTGTCTGCCTACCAACACTGGTAGCCTCATGCTAACATGTTTTTCTATTTGAATGGTGTTTTAGCAGCTTAAACTACCTATATTAGCTGAAGGCATTAAACTGAGAGTAGCTGAATTTTGGACATGTGTTTGCTTCCTTTTTCCATTCTGGAGCCCCGGCTCTGGGCCAACCAGTTCAGCTGAATGCTCCATCAGCTTTCTGCCCCGGGCTTAACCTCGTGAAGGTTTGACACACTTTGCAGCAGGTGCTGGTGCCTCACTTCTCAAAAGCAGACAAGATGAATGACGTCCCTCTTTTGGTTTGGGGGTCGGCCATCTGTCACCAAATGGGCAATCTTTGTTAGGGATACACACACACTGTGTCACACTCCCACAGTGCTCTCTTCTCCTGAGCGCTGCTCATAGTGAAATCACATCCCGTTCTTGGTGTCAGCCGTTTGTTCGCTCGCCTTCAGTGAGAGACACCAGCCGGCTGCATTCTCAAACAGTGGCCAGCTGATCACACACGCTTCTGTTCTCTGGTTGTTTTTGAGTTTTGTTTTTCTCTGCGTTTTTCTCTCCTGTTACGGTACAGGCATGCTGTTTGTCCTTTCTCAGAACAACAAAAACACTAAGACTCAGCACACGACTTTAAAGCACTCACCGTCTAGTGTGTTTGGGTATTACACATTTTCCACAAAAAAATTAAAGAAAACACCTTCACTCTTAGACGACTGTCTGTGACGTGACCTACCTCTAATGTACTGAAAATATTTTCAAATGTTTTTCCTTTCTAATATTCGTTTAGCTCTTCTTTCCATTAATGGCCCCTAATCCTTAATAGTATTGATGTGTAGTTAATGAATGTGTCAGACAGTCTCAGTGGGCTAACAGGCTGATACTAGTGCATTATGGGATGGGTCCTACTCTCCCTTCTAAGGGATCACATATCAGCCAACTGGAAAATCTATGCTTATATTTTACCCCAGGAGCAGAGTGGGAGAATATCTGGCTGTAGTCGTTTTAACGGCTCATTAACGGCTGTTGTCAGTGCAGTCTTTTTTAAATGGCATTCACTGCTGAGCAGAGGTAATTTAGAGGGCAACTTAATTGTACTGAATCTACATATGAATACAGGTACTTCTTTTTTGTTGTTAAAACAGTCCACATGCAGTATTTGTACTGCTCACTGTAGTACACATACTGAAAATACTTTGACCCTTTCAATGATTTATTGACCCTTGGGAAAAAAGATGCAGCAGGATAGAGCAGTTAAACATGTTTGTGTTCCTGTCGAGCCACTTGCCTTATCTCTTTCTCCAACTCCGTCTGACTGTCTGTCTGTCTGTCTGTCTGTCTGCCTGTCTGTCTGTCCGTCTGTCTGTCTGTCTGTCCGTCTGTCTGTCTGTCTGTCTGTCCGCCTGTCTGTCTGTCTGTCCGTCCGTCCGTCTGTCTGTCCGTCCGTCCGTCTGTCTGTCTGTCCGTCCGTCCGTCCGTCTGTCTGTCTGTCCGTCCGTCACCACTGACTGGTCTGCTGACACACTGCTAGATGAGCAGGTCAGCAGGATCCACTGCAGCATTGTCAAGCTGTCTGTCTGGTGCTCTGCTATGAACAACCTCTTTTTATAAACCACACACACACACACCCACACACACACACACACACACACACACACACACACACACACACACACACACACACTTGTTCAGCCAAACATCACCTCAAACACTCCCGCCAAGACACCACAGGAAGGCGAGGGCATGGCTGGCAGCAGTCGATGGTTCAATGGGTGGTTTGTGGCCCACTGGCGATGATGTCACTTGATGATGATGTGAGTGAGTGTGTACGAGTGGGGTTTGTATAGTGGGATATGGTTGGGGTTGAAATGAACCACACATGTTTACGCTTGTCAGTGCTGAGAATGAAGATCAGGGGTTGGTGGGTATTTGGATGTCTCTGCTCCGGTAAAAACAAAATGGAATGAGCAGCATTAAAAACCTCTTAAATGAACAAAAATGCACACAAAAAACCTGTGTAATGTATGTTTAAGTTTGTTGTTGGTCACCTTGGTCTTTTTGTTTAGAAATAGGAAACTGGAGTGGCAGTAGTTGAGTTCTGAACAGCCGTGGACATGTGTGTAATGATGTGGTGTTCAGGTTACAGAACTGAAGCCACACAAACGGAATAGAATTAGTTTCACCGGTATTTTTTCAAAAGAAAAAAAAAATGCAACCTTTGATTTTGTTTTGCCACTAGACCAACTGCCTGGGTCTTTTATTTGTAGTATTACCTTAATATTCTGTTGATTTTATCCTCTCCAACTGGATTTATAAAGCACTGCTGCCTGCAGAAGCTCACCTTATTTTCATCCATCTTGTCCACTGCTCCAGACCTGCACGGCCAACTGAAAGTCTGACCACAATATGCTAACAAAATGTAAATTTGGCTAGTGCTAACTTCTGGCTCCAATAATCATTACATGACAATGACCAGAAGATCAAATATTTGTTTGTCCATCTTTCACCCGTCTACTGTTGAGATAGATAGAAGATAACAAATAAGAAGAGGAACCTCTCAGGTGATGTCGAATGTAAACTGCACCTCTCCTTCCTGCACAGGACATTAACATTTTAGGTCCAGTCCAGTGCGGTTGTTGTTGACTTGAACACTCCGGTGCTAAAGAGATGTCGCCTTTGTAACGTCTCAAGTGCACGTGTACAGGATGTAGTGTCCAAGTTGAAAGCTTATCTTCCTGCTTGTTAATTCGACAGTGTTTAGTCTGTCAACCACAGAGCCAGCCAGTCTGTGTGCGGGCGAGTCACACCTGAATTTTCCCTTCATATAATGAGCTCATGGGTCATTAAACCCCTGTTAGCGTGATAATATAACGCTGTCCTACAGAACCAGGTATCTGACACTGTTTTAAAGAAATTGCACAAAATAAAAATACACGTCTGTTGAGGTTTTTACCCAGAGCTCTCTGCTTCCGAGGCAGGCGTGCTAACTGCTCCACTATGGAACCGACATTTCAACAGTTTTTACTGATAATGTACATACATGTACATTAAAAAAATTCAATTGTTAGTTGGATGAAAAATAATTGTGAAAATTCATATTAACTTTGTATTTTATAGTTAAAATATTCACACTATGTAGTTTTCTGTCTGTTTTGTGGGTGTTGGACTGTTGGACTGCTAACCCCCCGTCCCCAAATGCTATTTCCTGTTAAATTAGGACACAGAGCTTGTGACGATGACAAGGTCGATAACAAGATGACTGTCTGTTTGAGGACATTATGAGTAGCATGGTGTGTGTGTGTGTGTGTGTTGCATTGTGTGCCACATGACCCAGGTATATAAGGTTTTGTGGTGAACCTTTGTGCTGATTTGAGTTCTAATCATAAATGTTGTCTATGTCCTAAATTTGTAATGTGTTTTCTTTTTTTTTTTCTGACCCCCATTCTAGAACCGTGAGCTGCAGATCATGAGGAAGCTGGATCACTGCAACATAGTCCGCCTGCGTTACTTCTTCTACTCCAGTGGTGATAAGGTCAGTAGCAGCTGTGCCTTAAAATTCATTCATTCATTCATTTATTCATTCATCCATTCATTATACTATGACTGTTAAAACATATTCGTCCTGAATCTCATCTATTCTGCATCTATTTAGTGGAACAAAACAAACAAACTAAAACTGTGTGCTTTTATTAAATTTTGTGAAATCATCACTTCTTCTTGAGCCGAAGGAAATTAAAAACGGGGGTTTAACGGTTTTTTTTAACAAGGGAGTTGGTAGTTCTTGCAGCTTTGTTTTTTAAATGCAATTGTGTAAAAACTAATTAAATAACTAGTTTAAAGAGATTGTCTCTTAATCTGTCCTTAATTATATCACTTAATTTTTCAATTATTTACCTGAAAACAGGATGTTAAGTCTTTATTACTAGTTTTCTTTTTCTGTTCTTTTTCTGTTTGTTCTAATCTAATTTATTCTGCAAATGAACAAATCCATTGACTAGAAAAGGCCATTGTAGTAGTTATAGTAGTAGTTATAGTATAGTAGTATTTAGTTATAGTAGTTATAGTAGTAGTTGGTTTTGTACCATCTGAGAGGCTTGACCCTCGTACATGAATTGACTAGGCTGTTCCTGTCAACCGTCGGCGCTCCTCTGGAGACAACAAGGCTGCACTGTCACCCAGCATGCAGACAAACAGGCAAAGGTCCATGCTTCAAATATAGACTCCCATGAGCCCAGCACATACGCTGCCAGTGCTGTACCCATGACACAGCATGGAGGAATGCTACTAAGTTGCTACCGAGGCTTCAGAGAGCTCTGGGGGATTATGGGGTCGAGGTGATGATGAGGGAAGGGTCTGAGGAGAGTGGGCAGACTGCTAGGTCGGGGGCATTTAATAGCCAGTCTAGTGGGTGTAGGTTAATTATAGACTCACAGAGGCCCCGCCCCCTTCAGGCTCCACCTCATTCCTACTCTTCACATAATACCAGCCCACTCACCTCCAGGAATCACAGCTTGTTCTTGGTACACTGACACAGTGGCAGTGATGACATGCACACCAGTGACACCTCCCCACCTCCTCTCTAAAACCCACGTTTTGCAATCATGTTTTTTTTAGGTTCATCGTACGCTTTTAATTGTATCTGAATACACTTTAAGTCACAGAATCCCCTCTTTCTTTTTTTATTTTTTTTCAGTATGTACTTCCTGGTTCTCAAACTGAAACGTGCTGAGGGCCACAGCTGCCACTGTCATTTAAGTGGAGGGCCTCGTCAGTGTTGGTTGAAAGAATAATTAGTAAAAAAAAAGTAGTTTAAAAGTTTAGAAACTTAATTTTGTTAATTGGTACTTACTACAAGTACAAATGGGTTTTTTCCCCCTCGTTTTTAAATGACCAACAAAACACTTTTAATGAATGGGGGTAAAAAAATTACATCAAGGGAAAAAATAATTGAGGGGTGGTCTTGTGGGACAGAAGTGGTCCCCAGGCCAGATGTTTGCTTCCCCTGATTTCCACTCCTTACTGTTCGACTAATTATTGCGTCTGTTATCAAGTGTCCTGTTCAATAATTGTCAACCCTGTGATTGTAGACTTAGGTACGGCGTCTTCTGCTTAATGGGTGGTTACAAACTAGCCCACAAGTAAATAAAAGTACAGACCATTTGACAGTGAAGTAACATGGAGTTATGTCAGTTGTGTTTAGGTGCCGTTTGTATCCTCATTTCAGGGTTGACTGAAACTGAACAGGGTTCAACAGGGTTCGACTGTCCTCTGTGAGCACACACACAGGTAGTCTTACGTAACTGCCCGTGTGCACCCAGTGCTTTTACTTTTAACCTTTGACCAATCATCCAAAAGGGTAGGAAAGTCGACGAGTTCTAAGTTAATATTGCAACGAGATCACACCTAAGACAAACTTTCCTCTGTTTCAGCAGAGTGCTGCAATAATATTCAAATGTACGTCTTTCTTCAGTGGAAAAAGAATTTGAATTGTCTTCTAATAAATTTAAAAGTTGACTTATGTCGGAGTTTCGTTCCTTCGTTGCAACATAACTCCATTTTTCTCATGATTCAATTTCCCTTTTTTTCCAGACGATTAGTTACACTTAGTTTGATTCTCCTTCAGCTTCTCAAGTGACTTACTTCAGAGTTATTAAAGCGATTCAGAATTTAAAAGAAAATGCTACTATGAGTAAGCTGTCCACTAAGAAAAATATGCTTTACTTGGCTGGAGGCCCTGAACACACCTTTGAAGTCATTTTTAAATGTAAATTCACTGTCATCACAGTGAGTTTGGAGCTGGCTTTAGCAGCAGCCATTGTGTGTATTTCAATGATCGTAGGAATCTATGAATGCATTAAGTCAAGTGCTAATTATGTCAGGTGCCAGTGACGAGCATGATTGTCCCCCTCAACATGAGACACACGATGATGGACCACAGTCACACACACACACACACTCTGGATGTGTGGAAACACGCTTGGTGCTGCACATCAACACAGCCCAGCTACCATCGGTCCTTCACCGGATGATTAAATATCTGTGCCGCTTGTTCAGGTGCGAGCCATCTCCTCAGCAAATTAGAGGCTGAATTATTTAGCTGTGAGTGAGCAAGAAGCCAATCACGTCCCCTCCTGACGAACCATCTGGGAACAAGCAAAGGAAGTGGCTTTGTAGGGAGGCAGGAAGTGAGTCACTGCTGTTGCTAGGCTAAATATAGCTTTGGTGGCGCTGGCAGGAGGTGGAGCGCGGCTGTGAAGTCGCTACGAGTGTTATCAATGGAAGTTACACTGGTGAGGCAGGAATGTGCATGCACACACACACACACACACACACACGTGGTGGGAGGAAAGAGACGAGCAGAGAGAGTATTGGAGTGATGCCAGTGACCTGAGAGTGTGTGTGAGCTGTGACAAACGCTGCTTGAATTCCTTGTTATCTGAATATATGTCATTTCATTTTCTAACCCTCGCCCATCATTTGCATGCAGTTTGGATTTTGCATTTGATATGTGTGATCTACACACACACACACACACACACACTGAGCTAACAGAAGTTTCACCGGCTCTGTGGGAAGCTCTTCTCCAGGCCCTGCTCAGTCATCAACTTTGCAGTCCAGCAGGGAGTCAGCTCTGTTCACAGCCCAGGCTTCACAGTGGACGGACATATAACACCGCTGACAGTGGGCGGGTGGTGAAGCAGAAACTCTGATTGCACAGAGTGCTTAGATGAACTTTAAATGTAAACGCTTGGATTCATGATTCCACGTCAAGACATCTAAAGGTCACGTTAATGTCCAATCACGTCACTTCTGCTGCTCCCTCTGTTACACAGTGCAGTCCATTGCCCTGGTGATATTTTAAAGATCTCAAGTCCATTAAATGCGTCACGTTGCAGATGTTTTTCTTGTAAGATAATTACGTTGCTGTGATGCAGTACAGTACGAACAAATAATAATTCCTCCAGGAAACAATAGTTTCCGGCACCGGTGCTTCACAGCAACAACCGTAGTTTAATGTTCTTGCCTTGGACAAATTGATTTCCTGTAGTAGGATGACAGGGCCTGAACGTTTGTGTGTGAGGTTTTTCTCTGCAGACATACTGCACAAAGTAAATAAAAAATCTTGTGCAGGAGGTCGGCCCTGTTGTTCTGATTCATCACCTGACGGACCGTTACTGTTGTCATCTGTACCATGTCCTTCCAGCCAAAAAACACGACTTCAACCTGCACTGCTAACACTACACAGTGGGGTTTTCAGTGTTGGTTTAGGTTTTGTCATTCTGAATGACGTTGCTCCCGAGTGGTTAACCTCAGTGTTGAATGTATTACTAACAGTGAGATGGAGATTTCATTGTATAGCACTTCTAAGCTAACAACATGCTAACAACAGCTTTCACTCCTGATCATGGACATTAGGGACGTAAGAAAATATCAATACATTAAAATAACACAATATTTTGTTTCACAATATTATATCGACATTCTACAGGACTGTGTTGATTTTTTGTTTTATTAATAAATAACAGACAAATATCCATGGTGTTGATTCGTTTTCTGCTTTTATTGCTGACTGGCCTGTCGTGCTGAAAACTGACCAATCACTGGCCTGTCGATCTGGACTGTGCGCCTTTTTTGTTATTGTGTGCTGTAGATGCCTAAATTAACAGTTTATATATATATATATATATTTTCAAAAGCAAGGTTGATTTTGAACAAAGTCTTCTTATACACACTGAGTTCACTGATAGTGTATGTCAACAGTGACTAATGTCCTTTGTCAAACACAGAGCTCCATTGTATTTAAAAAATGTTTCCATACTCTTTCATCTTACTGCAGGATATATGTTCCAAGTTCTGACCCAAAAGTCCAGTTCCAAGAGGAACGGCCGGTGACTCAGAAATAGGTCATGTGGAAATCAAAGGAAAAGGAAGTCTTAGTCCACTTGGGGTCAGCGTGCTCTCAAGTTTGAGCACAGACTCTCGCCTCCTTCCGACTCTGGCCCTGTCCAGGCAGGAAATGATGTCATCGTCTGAAGCCACTGTTGGATTTAAGGCCTTTCATGAGACATTTCTTTGTGTCCTGCCTCTGGGAAAGACATTCACAATGAATCCCAGTTACATGTTGGACAGAACACGCAGCTGGGCGGGTCCTGTAGGGACACACCGAAAAATAATGGTGTCAAAGCAAACTTTCTATCAGAAAAAAAACATTTTTCAGCAGTCAAAAGACTTTAACAAAATTCCTTCAGCTTGTATTATTTTGGGGTCAACTGTGTATTTTTAGGCTTTTTTTGTTGTTGTCGAACATTTACTGGTCTTAGCCTTGGTGTGTGGGTTAAAATGTTTGTTTGCATTTCTCCCACAGAAAGATGAAGTGTATCTGAACCTGGTCCTAGACTACGTCCCCGAGACTGTCTACAGAGTGGCAAGACACTACAGCCGAGCCAAACAGACTGTGCCTATGGTGTTTGTCAAGGTAAGCCATCTAATAGTTTTAAAAATGTCTTTTCAGTTACAAAAAGGTTAGGGTTATATTATTAAATAATAAATATAAATCGTAAAATAATAAAAGAAGAAAATATGAGGCAGTTCAGGTGACATAAATTGTTGATAAGTGTCTTTCTATATTCAGTGCTTTTTGAATGAATAAATTACAGACATTTATTTGGCCTAGCCCACATAGTCTGACGCCATCTGCTGGTGGGGATGTTGCTATTAAAATAAAATAAAAAGCTGCTGGGGACAATTACTTCTTGAAGATCTTGATCTTGATCAGCTTGATAACCATCATAGTTCCATCTTTTTTCTTTATGGATGTTGGTTTAAAATAAATATATATATATATATATATTATTTATTTTCAAATTGAAGATGGAAAGTAAAGGTACAGTCAGGTGGAACTCTGACTAGAAATAGATAGATAGACAGACAGATAGACATATCATTTGTTTTTTTTTGTTTTTGTTTTTTTGTGTAGTTGTACATGTACCAGCTGTTCAGAAGCCTGGCTTACATCCATTCATTTGGGATTTGTCATCGGGACATCAAACCCCAGAACCTGCTGCTGGATCCAGAGACCGCTGTGCTCAAGCTCTGTGACTTTGGCAGGTGAGGAACACTGTGGTGTTTGCACTTTGTCAGACTAAGTTGTCTGTGACCTGTGTTTACTCCAGGGAAAAAAGGAACAGTGTGACATTTTGGCAAAAAAAAAAAAAAAAAAAAATCAGATCAGCTTTGTCTGTCTCTAAGTGATTACTCAGCTAATCTTCATCGCTTTGAAAAACTGAATTTTTTACAAATTACTTTCTGTAAATATAAAAAAGTAACCAGTTAAAGCAGCACAGAAGTGCAGTCCTCCACTCTGTGTTTATACTGTAATCCAACAGTCCAGTCATGTTGATGTTTACGATCATGTGCTCTGGTTTTTGTGCACAGTGCTAAGCAGCTGGTCCGTGGAGAACCAAACGTGTCCTACATCTGCTCTCGCTACTACCGAGCTCCCGAGCTCATCTTTGGAGCCACTGACTACACTTCCAGCATAGGTCAGATTCATTTTATACTGAAGATGTGTTGTAGATGTAGATGTTTTAAAGCACGTGACCTCTTCTCGCCTTCTCCTCTATTTGCTGATGATCTGCTGTGCTCTGCGTTACAGATGTTTGGTCAGCCGGCTGTGTGCTGGCTGAGCTGTTGTTAGGTCAGCCCATCTTTCCTGGAGACAGTGGGGTGGATCAGTTGGTGGAAATCATCAAGGTAAAAACCAATTCTGCTCACAGTGTTTTATATTTTCTGTTGAAGACAAAGTGTTTATTCCCTCCTGGTCCTTTCCTTCTTGTCCTTCTCGTTCTGTCCAGGTTCTCGGCACCCCCACCAGAGAGCAGATTCGCGAGATGAATCCCAACTACACCGAGTTCAAGTTCCCCCAGATCAAAGCACACCCTTGGACTAAGGTGAGTCAACAGGTACAGGAGCGCTTTTTTCTTTTTTTAAAATTCAGTGTCTTGCCATGTTGTGAAACCATGTTTGTAAAGACCACCCACCCGTCCACCCCCATCACATCCAGCATTTAGACATGTCTGACTTCCTTACAGACAGATATTCCAACAGTGTTTACTTTGGTGGTTGGAGGTTTATATTGGGAAAATGTCAGGGGAAAAGTAACCAGGAATAAGATCCGCCCTGTTGAGTCTGTCCTCTCTAAGTTTGTAACTCCAGATTTATCCATATGAAGTAACACATTCCCACATCCTCCACCTCACCCTCTTAGCATCATCATCATCATCATCATCATCATCATCATCATCAAGACTTCGGTACTCTTTGCAATTTAATGCATGATGCAGTAAACTGCTGTGCTAAAAGACAACAGGATCACCCTGTTATTAGGGTTGCAGCAGTCTGTCTTGATGGTTTCCTTTTAGAAGAAGAAAGAAGAGTTATCCTGCTGGACTAACTTTTAGTCATAAAATACATTTCTGGTGAAAAGATGCCAAAATTAATTAGTCACCAGAAGCGTTTGTAAACCATATATTCACTGATTGTATCTGCACTCATCAAGTGGTCCAGCTGTGCTCTCACCCAGGGCCATTCAGTCACCTTCCATCATATCACATGGTCCACTTCCCATCTGCTGTGGGTGATACTTGACAGATTGATATGTAATTCCACTAAGAAAGACCTGGAAATAGTTTTTAGGACATAAAGTCTTCAGGAAAACGTCCCTCCTTGAGCAAATGTCCACTTCTGCCTTATGCTTCATGTCTCATATGAGACATGGAGGACTGGTATGTTTTGATTTTCAATTGGGATCCATTGATAATACCAGTATCAATACCAGAGTAGGGCTGAATATGCTTACGTCTCTCCTTAGATTAATGGAATAGTGAATACAAGAGGCACGTCTACCTTGTTGTTGAGACGTAGTTAACCAAGTTTCCTAAATTTTGAAAATGACCACTAGTGCCAAAATTGTCCTGGTTCCTTAAAAATACAGTCTCTGATTTTATTCATATTTCTTTGTATAAAGAGTCCGTCTTCTCTAGCAGGTCAGTCTTCCTAAAAGCTACTCACCAGGTCTTTCAGTGCTAACTCTACTTAAAGAGACATGTCAGTTTTACTCATGTCATTATATGTTGACAGATTACTGTTTGTCTAACTATTGCTCAGGTGTTCCGGCCGCGTACACCTCCCGAGGCCATCGCCTTGTGCTCTCGCCTGCTGGAGTACACGCCCACGGCCCGACTCACACCCCTGGAGGCCTGTGCGCACTCTTTCTTTGACGAGCTGCGTGAACCCAATGTCAAACTGCCCAATGGGAGAGAGAAACCTTCGCTCTTCAACTTCACCACCCAAGGTTGGCAATGAGAGGGGTGGGGTTGAAAGGCCATTTTGTTTGGCTCAATTGCTAAGTGTACTGTTGTTTAGAACAAAAACCATATCTGTTTTTTTTTTTCCTTTAGAATTATCCAGTAATCCGTCTTTGGCCTCCATACTGATCCCTGCTCATGCCCGCAGCCAGGCGGCCGCCTCAACCCCAACCAACGCCTCTGCCACCACAGGTTAGAGCAGTGTTTGAGCCACTGCACATATTTTAGATCAGAAAAATCATTCTGCGCACCAGCAATCAAAAGAATTAGAAAAAAGTATTCGTAATGAGTACTTTCTCAGTGTTTAACCTGGGCCTGTTTAGTTGAACACAACACTGATATCCTCACAGGAATTGATTAAACACAGTCTATTTTTAAATGCTTGAAAGTAGTTTAATGTTCAGGTGACCACCAGGTCTGAAATGTAATGAATTTGAGTCGAGGAGGCAAATTATTTAGTCAAGAGTTGTGGAGGAACATTTGAGGTGAAGATGATGATTATAATGACCAGCAGGAGGCAGCAAAGCAACACAAGTTTGACGACCTGATTAGGAAAGCATAACTAGAAACAAAGAATGAATAAATGAATGATTTATTTTAATAATACAAAATGCTGCTTGAAAGGTAAGAATTTTCACAACTTCAATTATTTGTTGAAAGAAACATTTTGGGAAGTCTGAGCAGTGAAAACGGTGTTCGTATATTGTTGCAGCTTAATTTGAATTTACTCTGTTTTTGGTTTCTCTGCTGGGAGTATCAATAGTAATAACACTGATAATAATCCAGTACTGTTTATAATTTTTGAATATTCAAAAATGTACTATATATATAGTCATATGTAGTGCCTTTGTGTATAATTTATAGTGCAATATATTTTTTGGAAAGTAAAAACTAAAACTTTATGTTATGGATAAGGCACATGTTCTTAACTTTTTTATGACAATCCTTCTCCTCACACACAGATGGCAGCAGCACAGAGCGAGGTCCCAGCAACACCACCGCCTCTGCCTCAGCCTCCCACTCCACCAGCATCTGCCCCACCCCGGTCTCAGCCCCAGCCCCAGCCTCTCCATTGCCCCGGCCAGGGGGTGAGCTTTGCTCAGCTCAGCTCAGCTCTGCTCTGCTCTTGCCCCCTGACAGCAGCGGAGCGATGCTGGCGCACTCCGGGTTCAACAGCTAGACATCAGCCCTCGCGCGACCACAAACACAAACCCGACATCCCCCGTCAGTCTGTCTCTGCCTCCCCCTCGTTCCCCCCCGAAACCTCCCTTTTCATGCAGCTGTTTGAACTCTTCTCCATCGAAGACATCTCTCCGTGCTCTTCCAAACGGGGATGCGACGTGCAGGGCCAACGGTGTTGTCGACTCGATCAAAGTACACTGTACATGTATACACAATGCTAGCCTGCTAATGTTTGTATGGGGACAATCTGTAGAAAAATGTCCTTAGCTGTCTCCTTGTGGCCCTGATTCCTTTCGTCCTCCACTGCATCAGTCCATTTTTTTCTGCATCCTCATCCTACGACCTTTGCCCCCCCCCACCGTCCCCCTTCTTTTCGTCCCGTAGTGCATGTCCCGAGAATGGTTAGAATCACCCGGACTCGCCGTCCCATCTCACTTCACCTCTGCAAAAAAAAAAAAAAAAAAAGGCATGAGGCTCCAGCACGAGCATACACTTTACACACACACATTCACAGAACCGACAAATGCATCACTTATACACACACACACACACACACACACACAAATTCATGAAACAAACTCACGGATGCATGAAGATCCTTATGTATGTGAAAGGAAACAGTCCATTTTTGGGCGGGTGGTAGTTTTGTCTATTTTATTTATTTTTTATTTTCCCCTTTTGTCTAAGGGTTTTTTTAACGGTTACAAAGGCTGTTTTACTCGAACCTCCATCTTAAATATGGGGTTTCACAATCCTGGGCAGATTTTTTTTTTTTCTTTTTTTTGAATTGTCATGTGCGATGGATATGTCATGGTCCTGTGTGCTTGTATAATATATACATACAGTACAAAAAACAAACTTGCAAACATACACAGTTTATATATTACTTTTCCTTATGTATAAAAAGTATATATAGATATATGTATATTAACTACAATGGTTCAGAAATCACTTATGGTGAGCTCCTATCTGGCAGAGCAGTGGCAATATTTGCCGCTGCCTAAAGACAATAGACTTAGACCTGGTGGCATTTAGTTTTTTCTCTGGTCCTCTGTTGCTGGAGTGAGTTAAGATTCCAGCAGTCACTTCTCCGTTCTACCGTGGTGTCTGTATTAAGGCCGTAGATGGATGGATTTAGGGCATTGCTCTATTTCACGTCTGTTCACCCACTCTGTCTGTAACGGTGTTTCTGCGACAGCGTCTCAGCGACTTCTGCCCCACGTAGATCTTCCTCTTTGTCTCTGTGAAAAGCCAGGATGTTTCGGTGGCACGTCGTCTTTCGTCAGCTGTTTCGGAAAAAGCGTCGGCGGCGGTCCTCGGGTGCGTCCGCCGGCTTCCTCATGCGTTTCCTCCACTGACCGAAGTGATAGCCTCGCCTCCTTTGTCGTCCACCTGCCGCACATAGAGCCAGTCGGTACAGTCTGTCAGAGCGTCTTATTTACAGAGAATACTCACTGCATTTAAAAGAAAAGCGGATAAATGAAAGAAAAACAAAATAAAAAAAACAGAATTTGTATATACAGTATAAATGCTCCTTACCAAAATTCTGACTTGTATGTTGTTTTTTATGTTGATATGTTGATTATTTTTCCATCCTGTGTTTAAGGTATGTATATATGCAGACCCATGTACTGTTTATGAGCAAAAACAAAGATGACAAAGGGTTGGGAAAGGTTTAAAAAAAAAAACGACAAAAAAAAAAAAAAGAAAAGAAAAAAACAGAATCAGGGCGAAACTGATGTTGTTTATGGATATTGTCGATTGATAATGATGATCAGCTTTATCCAGCCATATGTTCAATCTTACCTGTACAGTACAGTAGATGACAGCTGTATTATTGTAACAAGAACTAGTCATGTATAGTGTAACTATAGTTTGGAGTGCCTTTGCTTTCATACACCTTCGCCTTGTTCCCCCTCAGCCCCCACCCACTCGATGACACCCCCCAACCCCTGTCCCCAATATTGTGGCTCTCCCTTTGGTGCTGTTGAATGTTCTGCTAGCGTACACTACACTTATGTGCACATACAAACCCTGCCCCTGGCTCCGCCCCTTCATTGCTCATTTTAATGTCATTCACAGACATTGGTTCGTTGTCAGGACTGAACTGGTGATGAAGTCGACTAATGTTTCTTTTTATTACATATTTTATCATGGAAACACACACACACACACACACACAGACACAGGCCAGAACAAACAAGTGTAAACCACATTCATGGAGTGTGTGAGGAGTTGGTGCTGCAGAGGGCAGCGTGGAGTTATTAGAGGGCCTCTTCTACCGTAAATATCTATACAGTACAGTCCGGTGTCTGTATTACTCACAGTGTTGGTTCTTTTACCAAAGCTAAACGATGATGTAGTTGTGATGAGCCATCCTCAGAGGCAATAATATATTCTGACTCTTCTTCTTCTCTCTGGATATTTGGTTGTTCCTCCGTCCTCTAGGTCTGCATTAGGGGGGTGGGGGTTCAGTAGCACCTAAAGGGGTCGAGTCATGTAGCTGTTCTATCTCCTGCTTGCTGTAATTTTTGCATTCATACAAGTGTTGCTACCCTCCGCCAGAAAGTCTGGCCACTTCACCCCAAACCCAAATTCAGTTCAATTAAAAAAAAAAACACACACACACACAAAAGCTACCAAAAAAGATGACCTACAAGTATAAATGTTAGTATGTTAATATACTAACATTTATACATGTTTAATATGCTTACTGGGGTTAAAGAAAAAGATAAGAAAATAATACAAAAACATCTTGTATACCAGTACTACTACTTGAATGCCTCTGTTTGTGACTGAAATTTTTATTTCTTTTGGTTTTTTTTCCCCTTTTGTTCTGTGAAGGTATGCTTAATGTGCACCTCTGTAAATATTCCCCCTGCGTGCTCTGAGGAATAGTTCCCTGGTACTGTAATTTGCATTAAATAAAGAGTAGGATAGCCTGGAAATGAAAACACTGACTGTTTCATCTTCTTTTAGATGTCGCTTTATAATAATACGTAAATATAAACTGCGGTGGACTAAAGTTAACAAATGCAACAGTTCTTGATCACGTCAATTACCACAGACACAAAAATATATTTCATTCATAATCCTCGTCTTTTTAACCATTAAAAAATTAACATTAATCACACTTCCTAATCACATTTCAGAGACTGTAGACTGGAACAGTCGAAACCTGAAAATATGTTGGTGAAAGAAAAGATGAAAAACAAAAACTTAAATAAACCAAACACAGCCAGTTGAGCAGAAAGTGATCAGGGTTTATGCCCCAACAGTGCATTTCAATTGAAATTATTATCCGTTATTACTTACCACTTTGACTTTACTGACGACAGACGTTGTATTTAGTGCTCAGACAGTAGTATATTTAGTATGTTGCGAACTCGGATGTTTTTAGTCATACTGTGTCAGAACTAATATATTTGGACTGTTTTTATCCCTGACTGTTTCACCGGATTGGCACACGTTCTCTATCCTTTCAACTGAAGCGCCTCTCATCAGTGTCTTCTAACCTTTTTTGAGCCACAGCAAATATTTGGAAAAAAAATATATTGAAAAAAATGGCATACACAACGAAATTGTTTTGTAAATAATTGTAAATAATTTTATGACTAAGTCAAATTTGATCATTCTATACATTACACTTGATGACTGTTAGCCTACTTGAACTTATTCACTTGTTTTCACGAAACAACTTTGTTGTGACGTGAACATGAACACACTGTTATCTAAAGGAAACACATTGCATCAATACTCGTGGTCAACCTGAGAACCATTTGTGGGCAACATTACTTTGCAGTTGGGAGGTTATGTTGCAACCCTGCAGGAAAGCTAGTTCCTCAAAGCTAACTTTGCCACCTCACTGTCAGCTGTTTGTGTCTGTAAGAGACAAACATCGTCCTAAAATTAGAATCCAGGAAAAGAGGAACAGTCTTGTGTCTTTTTCGACTTGTAGATATTCCTCACACTCGAACTTCTGCTGTTTCTACCTTTAATGCTTCCCAGAGACGGAAAAACTACGACTAGAAAAGCCGAAAACTAACTTGTTTTTTTTTTTTCTTCCTGTTCATCCGTTATAAACTCGGTCAAGTTTTGACCTTAAGTGTTTGGACTGTGAGTCAAACCACAGACCACAACCTCAGTCGGAGCTAATCTGTATTGTAATATCACTGACCTGCAAATTGATGATAGAGACAGGCATAACAACATCACCCATGTCCACGCTTTAAAAGTAGCTAAATCAGAAAAATTTCCTTTAGTGTGACTCTCTTTTTCACCTGCCATAACCAACAGTTTCCACTAGGGCGAGGCGATTAATCAAAATGAGAGTTACTGTTAAAACGATTTTCTGCTCTCCATGGAGAGGCGAGCGCCTTTCATTTATGACATAAATAAATGTATAATTTTATATGCTGTATGTGTTTCCAGATTTTTTGCATAGCTGTTATTTATAATATATATTTATAATCTCAAATCAATGAATAATCATTTTGGATGAATTAAAAATGAGTCAAATGATCGCGATGATTCATAGTCATTGTTTCCACCTAAAACTTACGCATTTGCATTTCTCCTTCAATTTAAGTACAAGAACATTCATCTTCTAAAAAAAGTCATTTTGGTCGAGTAACTAACGTTGTGTAACTTGTTTTTTGGTCCTTTTCACAGAGTTGTTATCATGTTTTTCCCATAGATTTGACGAAGGCAGTGGTTTATGATACTGCTCGTGTAGCGTTTGACTTCATGTCAGACACCACTCGCTCATGTGAGTGGCACGAAGAGGAAACTGGTGTGTTGTCTTATCAGGTGACATCCTGTGTGTGGGAAGAAAGAAGGCAGACGTAGAGGAAAGCTGTTTGGAAAGGGAGGAGAGTTGAAAAGATGGGAGGGATTTGTTAATCACCAGTAGAGTGCTTTCAACTTCACATGGAGGAGGAGAAAAAGTTGCTTTTTGTCACTTGGGTTCATTTACACAGGCCTGAACATGCTGGAGATCAGGATCATTTGAACGCAGATTGGAAACTCCAGGAGTAAAGTTTTAAAAACTTGCTTGTCTATCTGATGCCTCCTGTTCTGGTGGAGTGACTTCACAGAGAAACCTGAAGGCAACATGGAGATGAGGGACCTGTTGTGGATTGGCGTGGCTGTCATCCTCCTGGTGGACGTTGACGTTTGGGGCCAGGATCCAGGTTCGAAGATTTTCTTGACAATAACTGATATTTAACTGTAACATTCTACACCTCATGGTACGTGAGAGTAGACATTTTCTTCACTGCGATTCAACTGCGTTGCCATGACTCACAAAGCATATGTTCACTGGAAACGTCGTGCGTGGAGGTGTGCTGGTGCAGGCACTGTCAGCAGAGGGAAATGTTCCATAACTGATTTATGAAAAATCAATTTCAAATTCACATCTAAATCACAGAGTGGCGTCTCCCCCACTGTGGAGTCTCTGACTCAGCAGGATGGAAAGTCAGTTCAAGAGCTTTGGTTTCACTCCCCCACAACAACTGGGTGTAAACACACACAGTGCATTTAGTAAAGTGGGTACGCTTACTGTAGACCCTGTACCCACACACACACACACACACACACACACACTATATTTGGTTTTTGTATATACATACACATAATATATCTACCACCTCTCTGTGGTAATTTGGTGGGTTTTTTGTCTAAGTAACTGTCTACTACATTATTATTCCACCAGTTGTAACCACTCTGTGATGGAGAGTTTTCTTATCTGATATTTCAGTGAAATTCTGAATTCCAGTTCCTTTTTAACAGCTTTGTTTTCCAAATAATTCTGTTTTGGTTTTGGTTTTGTTTTTCACCCTTGACCTCTGAGACAACTGCATGTGATTTCAAATGATAAAAACAGTTTTCACCCTTGACCTCTGAGACAACTTTAAGGATCACGCTCATGATACTGTATTTGCCTCTGCATGTGATTTCAAATGATAAAAACATCAAGAGTTTTTTTAATTTTTCTTCTAAAGCACATAGTTCTGTTGATTGATCACTAGTTTCTGACCCCTGTTGGACTAACTAGCTGCCTAACTAACTAACTAACATTTTACTAACATAATTCTTTCTTTCAATCACAATTGTGTCTCACAGGAACTTATCACTTAACCACTTCCATGAACTCCAGCACTGATGGTAAACCAAAAGTCTTATCGTTGTTCTTTTTGTTCTGTCTTTTTAAGATCAAGATAAAAACTTGATGAATGACATCATACCTGTGGTTTGAGCCAATGATCAGGATTAGAAGCTGTCAAAATGAACACGTTAAATGAACATGTAATTATTTTTGAAATTATTTAGATTATTTTTTTATCACTATTGATATCATAGGTTGAATGACATGAGTCACAGTCTAGACACGTTATTTACCCACACTGTGGGGAAAAGGGTTTCATTTCACTGAAACTTATAATTCCATCCCAGTGTAGTTTAGGCATGTGGTTGCGGAGGCCTAGACTTCAGCCTCAGTGAGTGCTGGTCTGTAAGTAGGTCTACAATTAACAAGATGACTAACACAAGCTGTGTTTTAAAGGCAACTCTCAGCGTGTTCTAGAAGTCGCCGTCACTAAAATCCACCAACTCTATCAAGCTGTTTAGTGAGTTATACTTATACATATTTTTCCATATAAATACGTAAATCTAGTTTTGAATTAGTCAAAACTAAAAACAGTTAAAAAAGATGAAAAAAGGAAGTTTGTCTAATGTAGGAATGATAATTGATGTGTTAAACGTGATCAGGCCTGATTAATCTGTGCTTACTCTGTGATTGGGATCATCAAATGAAAATAATGTCAGTGTCTCAGTGTCACTGAGTGGTGGGAATGTTAAAACGTCATCATTTTTCTGTTCGTTCAACGTCCAAAAGCAGCAGCAGGAGGAAGTTTCAGTGGCAAACAAATTAAAAAACGTATTTTTAATACCTTAAAAACACACACCAAAATATTATAATTTTACATATTTATATGTGAGATAATATATTTTAGTTATATATAAATGGCACAGTACTGTGTAAATTAATTAACACTTATCTTTGTATAAAAATGTGTTTCTTAAACAATAATCTCTGTTCTTTAGTAGCGCATGATTTTCAAGTCATTTTTGTCTTTCCTCTGTGTCTGTTTCTGTTTCTTGTCCATTATTCCAGGCGACTCCGGCCCTTCGTCCCCTCGCAGTCAACAGATAAAGAACGGTAGAAGTTCATTCATGTCAAATGACTGAAGAAAATCCTCATTTACATTTGATGTTTTCTGTAGTTAAGACACTACGTCAATAACGTTCTACACGTTTTCTTCCAGTTGTTGTGCAGAATGTAACCGTCAACCTGGGCAGTGACGTGAACCTGACCTGCGGTGAGAAAAACTGGAGCGAGACCCTTTACGTTTTATGGAAAATTAATCTGAAACACAGGAGCTGCGATATAACCCGTGAACAAGACAGCCCCACCGTAGACAAGTGCAATGACAGGAAGCAACTGCTGAACGCGACCGGGTCTACATCCTACCTCAGGGTCCCACACGTCTCACTGGACGACGTGGGAATCTACACCTGTGAGTCTGCCTTCAACGGGGGAAACAACAAACACGTGTTCAACGTCACGGTCACAGGTGAACATTCATCTTCCCCTGCACTCAAACTAGTTTTTAAAACCAACAAACTCCATTATTTCTGCTGGTCGTACAGATGGTTGAACAGAGAAACTCCTCTGATATAAGGGTTATAATTAGACGTCCGTCCGTCAGTCATCTCATCAGCTTTAATGATTGACTTCTTTATGAGTACTTTTTATTTGAACAGGATTTGTAAACCTTAAAAAAATGACTAATTGTAAAATCACAGCCATGGATTCAATTTGTGTTTTTGTTTTGACAAAAATAATAAAGGGATCGATTGAAATTAATAACGCTAATAAACAGAAGATTTTGGAGAAACTTGAAAATTGCTGTTTTGTAGACACTTAAAGAACATGGTGTGAGGTCAGAACGTCTGAGATGAAAGTGCTACATAAGCCCAGATGGACATTTCCAACCTAGCCTTTTACCTAGCCATTTAAACAAATGTATAATGAGTAGAGATGTCCATCATAGGACAGATAATATCGGTCAGCTGATATTGTCGGTCCGATGTTAGCATATTATGTAATATCTGTAAGAATCGTTATCGGTTTTTCCTCCGATAATGAAAACCCGATAACACAAAGCCTGGGTTTCGCAAAATGATGTGTGCCCTAAAAAAAGATTCGGGGATGAACGGCTGTATATTAACATAAAAGTCACTAGATGGCAGCATTGCAGCTCATTTAATTAATCTCGTACTCATACAGTGGTTTGTACAGATAAATAAATAAATAAATATTACCAGACCTATACGGTTGATATCGGAATCGGAAAGTAAATTTTTGGACAATCGGCAAATCGGTTATCGGCAAAAAATTAATATCGGACATCCCTAATAAGGAGTCATTTAAACTCCTTAAATACTGAAGACCCTGAATCAGTGAGCCTTCTGTCCAAATCATTAACGTCAAAAACACTTCTAGATAATTCTATTCCTTATCTGAATAAAGACAGAGTTCAAATGAAATCTACTCAAAAAGTTAAATCTCCAAGCCCTGAATGTCTGGATTTTTCTTCTTACATCTTCTCTCTCTTTTCTCCCTAAGTTCCTCCTGAACCTTCAGCCTGGTTGGAGCACAGGTCCAATAAGATGGTCGCTGTCTGTAGAGCTGAAAGAGGAAAACCTGCTGCCAACATCAGCTGGAGTTTTGACACAGTCTCACCGTCGGTGGATTATCACGACACGTCCGATGGTTTTATTTCAGTAGTCAGTAGTCTGGAGCTGGCCGAGGACACTAACATTGAGAATCTGATCTGTGTCATCACCCATCCGTACTGGGTGAAGGGCGTGGTCCTGGTACCAGAGGTCAAAAAAGGTGTGTGTGTAGAAAAACCTGTCATCATTGTGGTGCCTTCTGGATGACAGGGGGATTTATTGGATGTAAAAATTGTTGGTTTTTTTCAAGATAAAAAGTTTGTGAAAATTTCATTTTACTTCATTTATAAAGTAACTGACATTTGCCTTTTCTATGCTATCTATTGGGGAAATGCGGGTATTGCAGGGGAAAGGCAGAAATATAATAAAAATAGAAATTAAAAACATCATTTGGACAAGTTTGGTGAGCCGGATTAAAAAGCCAAATGGGCAACCGACCCCCGGGCCGTAGTTTGTCCATGCCTGGAGTAGGGTATCAGCCAATCACTGACGGTGTCCCCTAACTCTAACTTCCTTTAACTCCTTTCTGCTCTCAATCACGATGTTCTGGGGCTCTGTAAATGTAGAAAGAAAAATTCTGATATTTTCAATCAAAGTGAAGATAGTTACTTTAGATTTAAACTTTACAAAAAATGAACATCTAAAAAAGTGGTTTCCAAAGTGAGGGGCGGGTCCCACTAGCATGAGATGAGTGATTGCAGTGGGGAGTGAAATGGCTTTCTTGTTTGTTGCATTGATCTATAGGAGGATTTAGTAATTAAACAAAAAATGTTTTCTCTTCACACAGGATACTTTTTCTGGCTGTTCATTTGTATTGGAGTGATCGTCGGTGTGATTCTAGTAGTTTTTGCATTTTTTGTACAAAGGAAAATAATGCTTACGAGGTACGTGCACTCAGCAAAAAGATGTTCACAGCAATTGAGAGGTTGTTGTTGTTGTTTGACCTGATCTTTCAATCTCATCATTGACAGGCGGGCGAACACATGTGACACATCACTGTCCAAATTTCCCTCGGTGGGTTTTCATCTTCACACTGTTTACTGAAACACACTGAAACGTTAATGACACCTGTTTTTTTTTTACCAACAGACGGAGTATGTAGAGGAAGTAGAGCCCTACGCCAGCTACGTTCAACGAGTGAACTCCATCTATAACTGAGCTGCAGAATGTTATGGCCGGATGTTCTGTCCACCCCCCACTCCGACACACACATTAATGTGCTGAATACTCTTTTTTCTCTGTTACCGCAACTCTCTGAGCAACAGAAATTAATTTAACCAGTAGGTTCTGTGACGGAAAACGTGTTGCAGCTCAGATTAGAATCAGGGGAAGTCGAAGCAGTGGTGTGCTACCTGATGATGCAGTAAAACCTAAAAAACTCTGCACTTTATGCTTTAAATTTCAAGGCCAAAAAGGAAAAAGAAAATATCTTTAGTGCTAACAATTTTAGAATTTTCTTTCTATTTTTTTAATGTCACCTATAAAGTGAAACCAGCAAGACGCTTCAAAAGAGTTTGGACGGAGAAAACGTGTCACATCCTGTTCTGTTCGTTCCACTATTTCACTAAAAATCTGAATATTTGTACAGGGGTGAGTTCTTCCACAAGGTCGGCTCTTTTCTTTCTTTTCTTTGCGTTTTTTTAAATATTTAAATATTTCTGTTTGGGAAAGACCAGATCTTAATTGTTGCAGTTCTCCAAACAGACTCTAGGGCTGCTCATGATGTACAGAAGACCTGAACAGTTGTTTGTTATTAAAATATTGTTTAAAGTAAACAAATACTATGTAAGTATGTGAGGTTAAACTGACGGGGAAAAAAGAAAATTCTTTTTGTCCATTTGTTGATTCAATTTATGTTCGGATTATTTCATAATCGGCAGATCTTATTTTAAAGAAGTAAAACAGCTTCCTTTGAAATGGGCTTACGTGGGTGTTTCCGTTTTCTTATGAAACACTGGGCATATGATCAGGTCAGAGCAGTAGCTTCTGGGTAATGTGTGTGAACGTTGTATTTATTACTTTGCCGTAAATATATAAATACATTAACGGCAGTATTCAAATTAATGTAACGAAAACAGTGGGTTACATGACAACGGTATTCTCTATACATATACAAAAGTCAAAAGCAAACCAAACGAACTTGAAGATGAAGTCCTGTCGACTTGTCATCAAAGGATGACGACACTTTAAAAGTGAGCTAGAAAGTCTTTCTCTCAGTCAAAGGTAAATGGTGCACCCCCCCCAAAAAAAAAACAAACAAACAACAACAACAACATGTTTTTAAAACACCTATCTATCTATGAAAATATGATCTATTCTGTTCTCTTCTATCTTCTCTATCGAATCTTCTGCTTGGCAGCGTGAAAACACTATCTGCTGCGCCATCTACTGGTAAAACAAGGTATAATTTTTTTGCGGCACTAAATTGAAAAGAAAAAACAAACATTTAGAAGTAAAGGTAAAAGTCAGAGGGTTCAAGATCTTCTAAAAAAAAAAAAACACTTAATATTTCTATTTTTATATATCAGTGGTTTTCCAGGTTTTAGGTCTTTGTTCCTGTAGTGTGGTTTACATATCCAGATCCGGGGATGCTGCTGCTGCTGCTGCTGCTGCTGCTGCTGCTGCTCATGAATCCCCCTGGATCCCTTGGCTGCACGTAGAGATGTTTAAAATTAATTTTAAAAAAATGAAACTTAAATGCTTCACAGTCTACTGATGCTGAGCTTCTGACATAAAAAAGTGTATATAACATGGCATATCTGTCATGTCATCTCAAAATTAACATCACATCTGGATTTTTTTTATGATGATATTATCACCTTTTTTGCCATCTGGAAAGAAACAGTTTTTAGCCCATGAGCACATAATCATCTGAACATTCATCCTTGGACGATGCGTCAGAATTACGTTCAGGTCGAAGTTCTGCTGGAATCTTAACTAAAGTATAGTCACAGTCGTCCTCAGATGCAGCTCTGGTTGTTCTGGATCTGTTAGAAGACATGTGATCGATGGAGGCGTACATTACATCCTCTCCAGACTGTGGAAAACAGAGGAAGAACATTTAACTACTGCCTAGATGGAAAGAGCAGGACACTATGGAAAACATAAAATGAATGAGTGGAATGGTGTGAAAATAAATAAGAAATGGTCATTTAAATGAAATGTATTTCCTTTTACAAGAGAGAGAGAAATATGCACAAATCCTACTGTTAAGCATAATTAATAATGTGAATAGCAAAGCCATGTTAAATAGCTTTACCATTACAGTGACGTCATGTGCCTACGCGCACAGAATGTTATTATGAGCATGCACAAAACAAACGGTCCCAGTTCTTTTTCCGGACCAAACAAGTGATGGCGGTTGGTCTGTTTTTCTCCCAGTAATACAGTTACTAGCACGGGCTAGTACAGCACTTTGGCGACTGACAGAGAAATGTCTAATCCTACACCTATAGCTGGCTGTTGTTGACCCAGTATGCAAATCTAACATGATAGCATCATTTTCAACATCATTCGTTCTATAAAAACAAATAATAAAAACTAAATAAATAAAATAAAAACTATACTACTGTACCAAAAACTACTACTAAGAAACTATTCATTTAAAGAAAAACTAATCAAAGAGAGAAACTCACAGTAGGGAGGACATGGGTCCCCTCAGTGTGTTCACTGTTTTTATCATCAGGCACAAAGTAATCTAAGAGAAACACAAATGTCAACAGGAAATGTTGTCAACCAAAGTTGACAACTGCAGTACGTTTTATCAAATTCATTGCTGCTGTTTTACCTGTTATCATCCTCTTTTTCCTCCTGACAATGAAACAAACATTAGAAGTTAGTATTAGAGACTAGATTATTATCATGTTTACACAGCCAGAAAAACAACAACACCAAAAATAAAGAATTCCCATTATTATTATTATTATTATTGTCGTTTTGACAGTTACAGAGTCAGATCTATTCTTTTAATCAATTAACCAACAACTTTTAACAAATTATTATCTTTTGACTGTACTTTTATCCTGGGTTAGCATTTAGCTACAATGTTGCATACATGGGATACCTTGGCTGTAGTTTTATATCAGTACTAGTTAGTATTTGAGCTAACTATTTTTTACGCCGACTTTTTGTAATAGTAGCTGTTGACTTTGTTATATTTTAAGAACTGAAACTTGTAACCAAACTTTAAACGGTGGTTTTCACTTGAAACACTACAGTGTTTCCTGGACAGTTCAACTGACTGGTGGTGTGTTGGTGCAGGAAACACTGCCTGGCTGTCATGGCTGTCACACAGAACAGAGCGCTTTTGTCAAGCTCCTGCCTAAATGTTTGCACGTCATCACAGGCTACGGTTGAACAGAAACTAGATGCTTGAAGTTTATCTTGATGTTGACCAACACTAGAGCTATTTCTGTCCACCGCCACCACAGTTTCCTTGCTGAGAAAAAATACAGAAGCTGCCTGTCTGTCACTGGGCTTCAACACTTAATGCTTTAATGGAATGAAACCAGCATGGCTGGACTTTTTAAGGGGCATAATTTGCACTGCATTCAATTATATTGAATTTTTGTACTGGAAGAAAAGTCATTTATGTTTGGGTTTTAGAAAGACTTTACCAAACATTTTACATCATCAGGTAAAAACTATTTTAGATTCTAAGCGATGATTAGCTAAAGCTGAGGAAAGAAAAGCTCATCAGCTTTAAATGAGTCAAATATATGATTCAAATGCTCTGTAATTATCCAGATATAGTTATTCATGTTTAACAAAAGCATCACAGAATACATTATTGGCCCCAGGACTGTATTTTACTGTGGCTGATTGGCACAAAGTGACCCCTGGTTTATGAGATGGAACCAATAATTACTGATCCATTCATTAATAACAGTAGTTATGTGAGACTTGACAGACTAAACTGAGGAAATGAAAACTTACCTCGAGGTGCAGTTTCCCATACTGTGTTCACCAAGACAACAGGTGGCAGGTACAGTGAAATTCTAATATCAATAAAGTCAGATAGGAAAAGAGTGCTGAGAGAGAGAGAGAGAGAGAGAGAAAGAGAGGAAGAGAGAGAGACTTCCTGTAAGGCAGCATGCACATTTACACACACGGACGTCAATGTTAGTGAGAGTATTCTTGCCTGAAACACCTCCAGATGTCTTTACTACACAAATCAGAAACTTAAGTTTAAAAATTAAGACAATCAACAGATGTCCGCTCAGTGTTGAAACTAGAAACTGCAATGTCTATGTCGTCTAGAAGAGCAGAGTCCACCCACTTTTTGGACTTGTTGCAATACTATGCCCTCAGTCTGTTTGTGCAAATGATACCAGTGACACATATAAGGAAGTGGCTGACCATTTTTCTTTTGTGGTAATGGTGGGTTCCAAAAACTCTTTCACTCATCTTAAAAATAATGTTAAAATTAACAATAATTCACCCAAACCGCAGTGATTTTGGCCTGCTCTTACTGGTTTAAACTTTATCAATCAAGGGGATGCAAACAAAAACAAACAAACAAACAAAAAACAACAGACCATTTTAAAATTGTAACTCAAGCCTGGAATCTAAAAATCCCATAAATATGGCTATGTGGTTTCTTCTTTTAGGTTTTGGGTTAAGAAATAAGAATATAAAAAAAAAAACAAGTTGATGGTTTGTTGTACTGTACAAAAACCTAAGCTACTTAATAGGTAATATTTCATGTTCACATGTTTATTGTTGGAAATAGTTTCTCGTTTTCCATAAATTTGTTTAGTAACTATCCCCTTTTTACACACAAGAGGAAGCTGTTAAAAAAAAACCCTTCAATAATAAAAAGATTTTTCTTGTTCAATATTATGAATACTATTGGTAATACTGTAAATAATATTCGTAGTTAAAACAACAAAATACTACATTTTAAAATAAATATTATTTATTTTAAATATAAATATATAATATTTGTTTTTAAATATAAATATATAATATATATTTTTCAATATAAATATATATTATACGGTATTATATTTAAAATAAATATTATTTATTTTAAATATTAATTATAAATTGTGAAAAAAAGAAAACATTATGTTGTTGATCTATGTGCACGGTGTAGTTTTGCACCTGTGGGCTGCAAGGGCATGCATGGGTTATCAGCTGCAGACCTCAGTTAGAGTAGCTCAGGTACAATGCAGCTTTTAACCACAAGGTGGCGCTAATGTACCAGTCGGGTCTTTAAAAAGTTCCATTGTACAGAGAAGAAGACTTTCTTCTTCTCTACACTAGCTGTAGCAAAAAGTGAGGAGCATTTTCAATGGAAAAATGAAGACCACTCCCCCCAAAGGACTAAATGTTACGTAGGTACAATCCTGACTTCATCAAACCTAATATTTAATGGGCCCTGGGCCACTTTGTGCTATAACCCTGCTAAAGACTCTCTCTCTCTCTGTGTCTGCAGTTAATGTCTTTTGTTCTTCTGCAAGAACTAACACACCTGACCCTGGATCAAAGAATCTGTGAAATATAAGCATCTGGACGACAGGTGAGCACCAGAGAGAACTTTAGTTTTCATAAATCTTCATAAAAACGCGAGGTGAAATGTCAGAGAGTAAGACTGTGAGGTAAGAAACCAACTGTTTTATTAAGGTGGTTGTATTTTTACACCGTGTTCAACCTTTTTGTGGTGACTGGGCTTTAACTCCTGTCAGAACACTTTAATATTCACAGTATCCTGGGCTCTGAGGCGGTGGACGAGGAGAAGAACAGAAACTGAAGTATCAAATTCAATACTTCATACAGTACTACCTTATACTCCAAATTTCAAGTACAGTAGTACCACTCACCCGACAGTTCCAGCAAACTGGTTCTGGGCCTGCCCAGGTCTGAATGACTTTTACGGGTTGGTTTTTTTACTTCAGTACAAATGTGTAGAGAATTTCAACAAACTCATTAGCTCTAACAATATTTAATAATCAGATGTTTGCAAAGAAGCAGTCATTCCTGGATGTGGTGTCAGATTTTAATCTGACATATTATGACATATATAAAGATGAATGCAGCTCGATAAAAAGGGTGAGAAAATCTCCAACACTTCTAATGGGCTTTCAAGGGAATATTTGCAACCACAGAACAGAACAGTAACTCAGTATTAACTCTGACTACAGGACCAACAAAACTTCATTATTGCACCATATATTTCACAGATTTATTTTCCTCTCGGTCAATCCCAAAATTAATTCCTTTGGTCATTTAGCACCGGGCCGCAGTAGGACATAGTAAAAAAAAAAGCACTTCAATTTTACTTCTTTTACTTTTAATCCAGTCATATGCCTTAACTTTTGTCATTTCAAGATAATCTGGCAATGTTTCATAACAATAGGTCAAAGGTCATTCAGACTCTGATGCTAACAGAAATAAGTCTAAAAGATGTTGTATTTGGAAAATGTAATGATCCTTCAACGATGGTATGGTATAACTGGTCCGCAGTCCTCTAACAGTCCTCTAACAGCCAACATGGAAGCATGCAATATATATATATATATATATATATATACATATACATATATATATATATATATGCTGTTTTCAAATGCAAACCCAAAAGAAAAGGAAATGCAACTCATGGAAAATACGCAAAGTGACATATTCTTTCCTTCAGACTTTGGCCTGTCTCCTCAGAGGAGGTCAAACAGTGCAGACCAAGGAGAGTCACGTGCTAGCAAAAATTCCAACATGAAATTTTTCTGCATAATCTCTGCAAATGTTGACAGAGTAGAAGCCGCCCTTCCTCTCTGTTTACCCCAAAAATGTATTCATATTACACTCTCTTTTTCATGACACGTGAACTTTTGAATGTGAAAATCGCTCGGTGAAAAAAGACAGTAAAGAAATACAGAAATATGGTGTTAGAGAGAACAGCAGTTGTCCTTTCAGTTCCCACAGTGTGGATCGTCTCCATTTTACTGAACCTCCGATATCTGAAACATCATCTGAGCTCTTCAGAATAGCGTCTCCTCACGGGTGAGAAAAAGAAGTTGGTGGTGGACGATTGTATTGTGTGTATCGTATGTGACAGAGCATCTTCATGATGATGATGATGATGATGATGATGAAGAGGAGGAGGCAGGGCAGCAGCTCTAGCACTGCCTCCTGTTTCAGATTCTGTTTTAGAAGTTAGTCCACTGTAAAAAAAAAAATCCACCAAGAAACAATACATTAACATTTATCTTTTACCACAATGTCAAATATTTGATTCCCAAAACAAGGTGTATTTAGACTCAAGTCAAACCCTTCACTGTAGTCCAGTTAAATATCTATTTCAAAATCTAGGGCAATCCATGGGTTCCTAGACTTGAAAAATTAATTGTTTCTTCTGTATCTTCACATCTATTTGACAAATCTAATTTTAGTTTTCAAATTAATTAATGTTTTTAATTAGGATGTAATAAATTGCAAAATATATGCAAGTTTTTGAAGTCCCAAACTGTATATACACACACACACATAACAATATCACAGTCTCACCTTCTTTACGTAGAAAACACTTCCACAGGCAGAAGCAGAGAGACATGACCAACAGAGCTGCTACAGTGGTGACAGAGATCAGGATGGTGAGAGCTGTTCCAACTGAGAGAGAGAGAGAGAGAGAGAGAGTGATCTGCTGTTATCTGACCACAGTCTATTGTTGTTAATAATAATGTTTCATTGTACTGCTACAGCTGTAGTATTTAACAGAGTACATTTATATTGTATATTTTCAGTACAGTAAATATCCCTTGACGCGACAGTTCTTCAGGACTAACTCACTCTTCGTGTTCATGGAAACAGCAATTGGCGACTCCAGGCCCTTGTGATGCACCAGACACTTGACGGACACATCTTTGAGGAGCCCTGATTGGACGGTCAGTGTGCTGACCACCAGGGTGGTCCCATCATGCTGCAGGAGCTGTGTGGTCACCGGGGGGCCGATGGTGCGATTATCTCCCTCCACGTTCCACACGATCTCTGCTGGAGGTCGTGACACTAAGGTACAGTTGGACTCGATCACACCTGGAGTGGTGGTCTTGTAGCTGACCTGGGGTTTAGGCAGCACTGTGGGAAACAAACACAACCAGCTTTATGTCTCTGTTCTCCGAGCTGAGGCAGGAACCGAGAACATTTGAAGACAACATTTTTAATCTTCAATCCTGATTTTCATTTTTATTTCAGATGTATTCATGCATCCATAAAAGAAGAAGAATTGAATTTCAGGCCAGTGCCAATAATACTATACGGTATGTCTGGACATATATCATAACTCAAATCGTGACTTTTTATTTTTTGTATTGTGTTATTGTTGATACTGTGGTCAGGTGATAAAGTTTCGAAATTCTAATAGGTAGAAATGTTTTATCCTATTTTTTTTACCCTCTTTATTTTTAAATAAATAAATAAATAAACTAAATTTTTATGTCTATTATAAAATCAAAATATATAACAATTATATATAAATGTCAATATAAAATATTTTAAAAAGTAAATTTACTGTCTTAACTGCAAATATAATAATTTTACATTTACTGCAGTAGACATAGTACTAGCTTTTCTGTGTTTATAATAGCTAAAGCTACCATTCGTTGCTACTACTGTACCCTCATAAGATGGGGCGGCTGGAAATCTGACATTATGCAACATGACCGCTAGATGGTGCTCCACCTAACACCAATTTGGTTCGACCACATTGTTTCCTGCAACAGTGTTGAAACAATCAGAATCCAAAGAGTATTACTAGCACACTGAAGGAGGAGGGGAGTGACGTCATCGCAGTGGGGCGATGTTAACATTGTGTTACAGCGATAAGAATCATTCATGCTAATGGAGCGTCAATGCCACCACCACCTACTGCCCTGTACAGTACTGAGTTAAACAAAAGCACGTCTGTCTGCTGAGAAAACTGAGAGGGAGAGGAGAAGGAGCAAAGAAGGAGGAGAGAAGGAGTAAAAAAAGAGAGAGAGACAAAGGACAGAGGGAATCAGTGTCTCCTTCTAACACTGACACAGTCACACACCAGGAGCTCACTCCCTGCCTCCATCATTCTCACCAATGGTCCATTCTTCACACGGACACACTGCTCTGTGTTTGTGTTAGTGCTCAGCTCTGCTGCTGCTGCTGTAGCAGGAACAACATGCTGCTGCTTCTAGAATCTAATGGAAAGACAGATCAACATTCCAGTCTAAGACCTGGGGCTTTGGGGTCTTCTTGTTGAAGTCCAGTATGAAGTGTTGCCCCAGGTGTCTTTCCAGCTGCTGGAATCTACCTCCAGACCTTTAACTTCCTGAACAGATGTGGTGTTTGTGGGAACAAAGTGAAACAATATATCTAAATAAATAACTTCATTATTTTCCTCCTGTGTTTTTAGACTGAAGACCTTCTCTATCTGGGCTTGATGCTGTTCCTCTTTCGTAGTCAAACCCCCAACCTCAATGGAAATAACTGTCCTGCCTCATGACCACTGTTACATCTGTCGTGTGTGTGTGGAAAGTTCTAGTTACCATAGGTGGAGAGACACACTCTGGAACTCTTGGCTTTTTCAGAATGCATCTCGAACAGGCAGGTGTAGCAGCCCTCGTCCTGGATGGACACAGGTTGGATGGTGAGCTGGCTGTCAGACAGAGAGGCACTCAACCACACTCTTCCTTGGTACGGTGGCTCAATCATGGGGTCACCGTGCTTTGCGTAGGAGGCCACATCTGTGGGGTCACCGTGTGCTGGAGTGTACCTCCATATGATCTGCTGCACCTTCTCAGGCAAACCATAGGAGCAGGAGAAGGACACCTTCTTACCACTCACTGCTGTTTGGTTGCCGTCAGCCTTGACTGGTGCTGAGGACGGAGGGAGGGGAGGAGAGGAGAGAGCAGGAGAAGACGGAGAGGGTGAGAAACAGTGCAAGGTTAATCATTTGAAATATGAAGCATGGAAGAAAAACAGTCACTGGAATCTGCAGCAGCTGTTCCTGCTTAGAGGCTCTGCCTCCCCCCATCTCCTCCCCCCTCACCTCTGTGCTCCATGGCCTTATTAAGATGACGGAGCTTCTACAACTTCATCAACAAGTGCTCAGAGGTTAGCAGTGGTTCAGGGCAGTCATTTCCACATATTTTCACAGCAAATCCCCGTAGCAGATTGATATTCCTCGGCTAAAATATACAGCGACCAATACGCAACCTGAGCACCGGTGAAGTTCCAATAACAAAGTGTGCACTTTGCCTTCATTGCAACAAAGTAAATCCAGTTTGAAACCATTTGCGGTCCACATGTTATGACAGCTTTAAATCATCAGAAAAGAATGATTAAATGTTTTTATGGCAGTCATTTTCTGTGCAGAACAAGTTTGGTTTTTTTTGTTCAAGTGTGTACTACTATGTTACTATAACCTTTCATTTATACAGTCCAGTTAGAACTTTAGCCCAGCACTACCAGGTGAATACAGAACTTGGCATTTACTGTACTTGTTGTCATAAATAGTCTTTGACCTAATCTTTATTGATTTCTTCTAAAATGTGTTTCTTTGTTCCTGTAGGAGCAGCCATGGTTCTCTAGAAATATAAAAAATTATGTCAGAAATGCTACTAACTAGATCATGCATGGGCAAACTACGGCCCGGGGGCCAGATGTGACCCGTTTGTATGTTTAATCCGGCCCACCAAGCTATGTAAGTCATTTATATTATAATTATATTTCTTCCTTTTCCCTGCAATGCCTGCATTTCCCCATTAAATGGCATAAAAGAGGCTAAAACATTTTAGCATTTTAAGTTTTATGCAGGACTTTAACATGTCATTTATCTTTGTTTACACCAACGCTCCATCTATCTGCTCCTGACCCAGGCCACTGTAGCCCATGAGTCAAAAAGTGATGGTAATAATATATAAACACAGCGGATGTATTGATTATTTAATCTCCAGTAGTAATTCTACTTACAGGTCACAGTGAGGCAGATTTGACCCTGCTTCGGACCAGAGGGGTGCAGCTCAAAGATGCAGGTGTAGCAGCCTTCGTCGCGGAAGCTCACCCTGTGCAGGGTGATGGCCGAGGAGTCCTTGGGAGAAGAGGCCAACTCTACGTGCTGCTGTCCGCTCACGCTGTCTCTGTTGCCAGGTTGGTAGCTCAGCAGGGTCTGGTTCTCCACATCCAGCCAGCGGACCTGCCTCAGAGATTCACCTCGTTCCCTGGAGAGGGTGCAGGTCAGAGTGAAGGGCTTCTCCACTGGAGCCTCCAGGTGCTGTGGTGCTGTTACCCTGCCTGACACATCCACCCTGGGGTCAACTACAGGCTGTACACAAAACCTAACTCTGGTGTGTTAAACAAACCCCATTTCCTGAACTGTTAATACACAGAATAAAAATGGCACACATATATATAGCTATATGTATATAGCTATATATATATATCATGAAGAGGAATATCAGACTGCAAAATTCCATGCATTTTAATCTTGGGTTTAGATTTGTTACATTATTTTGTGAGAAAAAAAGACCTCCATGTAAGATGAATAACATTTTAAAATGTTTCAATCATTTTCACACAGAGTACAAACTTCTTGTCTAAAGGGGGGTTTGTCTAAAATCTATTTTTCTTTCTCTAAGATGGATCTACTCACCCTGTAATCCCTCAATCAGCAGCAGGAGTAAACACACCAGCAGCTGTTTCCCATAAGGAGCCTGGATCTTCATCATCTTCGTCGTCTTCAATGCTCATTTAACGGCGAGATGGAAGAGTGGAGCGCTGACGCAAAGAACGGTAACATCATTTGTTAGCATCCTTTAAAGACATTTGGACTTTGTATTGATGTAGTGAGGATAAAGAAGGCTAAGACTTTTTTTTTATCAGAACAAAACAAATGACATGTACTGTACTGTACGCATTAGACAATGTTAAGTTGTAGGTTTCACAGATTAAATTGTAAAATAATTATATGTATTATAATTATAAGTATTTCACAATGTGGTCATAAAGTACATGGTGAGACATTGAATAAAACATCTGAATATTTTGGGGGGTTTGATTAGAAACATATGGCACAGACAGAAAATGAATGCTCGCATCAAACATGTATTTTAACAATAAACTTTATTTTAGAAAAACATATTTTTAAAGAAAAACAACTTACCTTGTTAGATACATGATAAATTACATAATAAATAGATATATAATAAATAAATTACTCTAACTCTCAGGTTGAAAATCACTGCTTTACTGTTTTGAACTAGTTTTAATTAAATAAGATTCAATATAAAAACATAGAACAATCCAACCCTTACTTCAGAAATCCACAGAAACAAACTTAATTATTTTTCTCCTCAGTTAGCCTGCTTCTAGAAAAGTCTATAAATGGATTAAACAAAAATAATCTGACATGAAATATCTTAAATACAGTGTACAGGCAACATTACAGTAAAACAAAGAGTACAAACACTAGTATTTACACATATCTGCATTAGTCAGACTGCAAAATTCCATGCATTTTAATCTTGGGTTTAGATTTGTTACATTATTTTGTGAGAAAAAAAGACCTCCATGTAAGATGAATAACATTTTAAAATGTTTCAATCATTTTCACACAGAGTACAAACTTCTTGTCTAAAGGGGGGTTTGTCTAAAATCTATTTTTCTTTCTCTAAGATGGATCTACTCACCCTGTAATCCCTCAATCAGCAGCAGGAGTAAACACACCAGCAGCTGTTTCCCATAAGGAGCCTGGATCTTCATCATCTTCGTCGTCTTCAATGCTCATTTAACGGCGAGATGGAAGAGTGGAGCGCTGACGCAAAGAACGGTAACATCATTTGTTAGCATCCTTTAAAGACATTTGGACTTTGTATTGATGTAGTGAGGATAAAGAAGGCTAAGACTTTTTTTTTATCAGAACAAAACAAATGACATGTACTGTACTGTACGCATTAGACAATGTTAAGTTTGAGGTTTCACATATTAAATTGTAAAATAATTATATGTATTATAATTATAAGTATTTCACAATGTGGTCATAAAGTACATGGTGAGACATTGAATAAAACATCTGAATATTTTGGGGGGTTTGATTAGAAACATATGGCACAGACAGAAAATGAATGCTCGCATCAAACATGTATTTTAACAATAAACTTTATTTTAGAAAAACATATTTTTAAAGAAAAACAACTTACCTTGTTAGATACATGATAAATTACATAATAAATAGATATATAATAAATAAATTACTCTAACTCTCAGGTTGAAAATCACTGCTTTACTGTTTTGAACTAGTTTTAATTAAATAAGATTCAATATAAAAACATAGAACAATCCAACCCTTACTTCAGAAATCCACAGAAACAAACTTAATTATTTTTCTCCTCAGTTAGCCTGCTTCTAGAAAAGTCTATAAATGGATTAAACAAAAATAATCTGACATGAAATATCTTAAATACAGTGTACAGGCAACATTACAGTAAAACAAAGAGTACAAACACTAGTATTTACACATATCTGCATTAGAATATTAGAGTTCACTGGACTCACCTCTACTTTTTCGACATGTTCTTCCTGTGCACCACAGAATCTATGTCCACCAGACTTCTGGAACATCTGCAACAAAAACTATTTCAGTCATCTGACTGTTTTCTATTCGAACCACCAGCACAATGAACACCAGCTGGTGGTGGAGTTCAGATTCACTGGATGTGGTTGAGTGGAGCTTCGCAGCCACAGAGCCTGCTGTAGGGTCAGTGTGCCCTCTTTTGGCAATGGATTCACATTGCTTTGGGAAGCAGAAGAAATTACATTAACACAAAAGTACACAAATATGCACTACAACAAGATTATTATATTAATATAATAATGTATTATATATTAATAATAATATAGAAATAACAAAGAAATTAGATGACCAAGAACACCTTTTCGTACCTTTATTTATTTATAATTATTGAATAAAAAATGTGATTTTAAAAAAAGTGGCAGAAAAAGACATTTGGTAGATATGTCGTCCTCTAAAGGTCACTTTAGGAATTACATTAACCAGAAAGAATTATAATAATAAAATAAAATAAAAGAATGTCGTCACATAAATTCCGATAATCTATGTGCATATAGTACAGTGAGAAAAACTTAAACTTATATGCTACATCGTGTACCGTATTTAAATAAACCTATCGCTTATGGCGTACTATTCGGTTTATTGGAACGTCACTTTTTTTGCGACGGAAGTGTTTCTGCCGGACCATTGTATTTGACGCACTTCCACTACCACAGACGGTTGACAGCTACACAGCGAATACGCTCAAAATGAACAAAATACTCACTTAAACGCACCTTAAACTTTTTAGATATAATTCCATCACATAATAGCATGAAGTAAAGTTGCTATTGTTTTTTTTTCTTTTATGGAATAAAGCAGCATTTTCTCTGCCGACACAATGTCGTTCCTGGTTGACTCAGTCATAATGTTCACCTCACAGGTAAAGTTGACCCAATTCTCATTCTCTTGATTTATTTTTTATTAGAGCTTGTGTTATTAAAAGTAATAAGGTTACAATTGACAATAATGCTAGTGCCATATTAACTGGTGTAATTAACTGGTAGTTGATGAAGCACAAATATTTTACTCGGTCCACTGTCTTGATTTGTTAACACGAAGACCTAATGTTCGTGGAGTTTATTTTACTGCAATATACTTCCCTGACAGGTGCTGTTCTTTGGATTTGGCTGGTTATTCTTTATGCGACAGCTTTTCAAAGACTATGAGGTACAGTTCCTAAAACGAAATAAATAGTAAAATAAAAAATGAATGGTTATGGTCCAGACCTACACACTATTGTAGATGACATAATAAAAGCCTTAACTGTTCACGTATCTTTTTTCCAGGTGCGACAGTACGTTGTTCAAGTAGTTTTCTCTGTGACTTTTGCCTTTTCTTGCACCATGTTTGAACTCATCATCTTTGAGATTTTAGGGGCGTTAAGTAGCAGGTAATTGTTTACAGGAAAAATTTCAGTTTCATGCTGACTATCTCTGAAGAAATTAAAACCTCACGCTTTTGCCGCAGTTCCAGGTATTTCCACTGGAAACTGAACCTGTATGTAATCCTGCTGGTGCTGATCTTTGTAGTGCCTTTCTACATTGGGTACTTTGTTGTGAGCAACATCCGCCTGTGTGAGTACCAATCAGTCAACTTTAAATATTTTTCTCAAACATTTCTAAACATTTTTGTGTTTTTTCTGTTACATCTCTGCTGTTTGTTTACAGTGCACAGACAGAGGCTGCTTTTTGCTTGCATGGTCTGGTTCACATTTATGTATTTTTTCTGGAAGTTGGGAGATCCTTTCCCCATCCTCAGTCCAAAACATGGTGAGTATACACGTAGTTCGACTCTGACCATTTACTGTCTTTGACGACTGTCTCATTTGGTCAGTCATTTATGACCCAGACTGACATTTACCAGGACATCACCTGTTCATCTAATCAGCTGTTTGGCTGTGAAACCTCAGCTTAGGTAAATGAACAGGAAATTCCTTACCTTACAGTAGTAGTTCCTTTGCTGTACCAGCAGGGTAAACTGGACCTGGAGGTTGAAAGAGATACAGGATTTATTGTCATTTACTGCAAATCATAATAAAAAGAGTGATACAAATGATAAAATTATTTGTGCTTTTGCCACTGTGATACAAGTAAAGACAACATTAAAACTGAATTTGCAACCCCCAGTAATGTGTACCTGTGTACCTACTATAGGGTGTGCCCCCCACTTTTGGGAACCTCCACTTTAAAACAGCATTGACATGGATTTCTATGTTTTGTGAGAGATTTACATCATAGATAGAAAGATTTGGTCTGACTCTGGGCAGAGGTTTTAATACTGCAGGTTGTCAAACACAGTGCCGATTTATTACTTTGTAATAGTAATGATCTGTGGGGTTCATTGAAATGAAAACGAAGCTGTGATGTTTCTGTTTTTCGTCCAGGCATCCTGTCAATAGAGCAGCTCATCAGCCGTGTTGGTGTGATTGGAGTCACTCTAATGGCTCTGCTGTCTGGGTTTGGTGCTGTTAACTGTCCGTACACGTACATGTCATATTTCCTCAGGTGAGATACAGCTAGGGCTACACATAATCCTCAGTATCCAGTGTTATAAAAATGTTAAAAATGTCAGTTTAATCTCAGACATTTGTACTGCAGAACAAAAATTGATAAAACTGTCTTTATTTACTTTTTTAATTCTCTTTAAGATTGTTTTAATATTGGTAAACTGTCTGCTCCTTGTCCCTGTCAGACACAGACAATTTAAATATATTTCTTTTGTTTTGTTAATAACTACATTTTGGTCTTTTTTGAAGAAATGTGACAGACAGTGACATCCTCGCTCTGGAGAGACGTCTGCTCCAAACTATGGACATGATCGTCAGCAAAAAGAAACGGTGAGAAAAAAATCAAGACAATTATAATTATACTAATCAAAGGCTGACTGAATGTATCATTGGGTTGTCTACTTTTGGCCGTGTTCGTAGAATTGCAATGACACGGAGGCAGATGTACCAGCGTGGAGAAGACCAGAACAGACAGACAGGATTTTGGGGCATGATTAAAAGTGTAACCTCCACACAAACAGGCAGCGAAAGTATCCTTTCAAATGTGATGGTTTTCAGTATATACAATTGTATGTATAAATATGTTTATGTATGTAAATGTCTATATAAGTATATATGTATTCATAAATATGTCTACGTGTGTACACATAACGACAGTTAGTATGTGCAGTATTTCGGCCTTAACCACCTCTACTGCAGACCTCTCCTTAATCCAGCAGGAAGTCGATGCTCTGGAAGAACTCAGTCGACAACTCTTTCTAGAGACTGTGGACCTGCAGGCCACCAAGGTAATGTGCAGAAAAACATGCTCATACTGCTCAGAAGTGGATTTTTTGGCTGTAGATTCTGCAGTTGTTTCAGCAATGATCTTCAGTTTTTATGAGGTGTTATGTCACCGTTCTTCTTTACATAAGTGCTGATGTCAAATCACCTGTTTTTTTTGTCTCCTGGTGATATCTGGGTTACAGTAGATTTCACTGAGGTAATCATAACTTTATCTTCTCCTTAGAGATATTATATTGAAGCTGGACTCTGTATATGAGGCTATAATATAGTTATAATTTAAAAATCTAATTCATCAACTCATATTATTACCTAATTAGACCATGTAAAGATAAACCAGGAGAGGCCGCTCTTCTACGAACCTCCCAACTATTTCTCTGAAATTTAACACATCACATTTGCCTGTGTTGCTGCGCCCACTTTAATGACTCCGCTCTGGTATAAACGGTTAATGATTTACTCTTGATTTTAAACCACCACCGTGTTTTATCTTTAGGAGCGCATTGAATATTCAAAAACATTCCAGGGGAAATACTTCAACTTCCTGGGATACTTCTTTTCCATCTACTGTGTTTGGAAAATATTCATGGTGAGAACATTCACACATTTAAGTGTTGATTCCTCAGGTGAGAAGGCATTATATAGTATGTGTTTTGTGCCCTGAGTTAAAAGTAACGAGTAAACCTGGTCTGTCGTAGGCAACGATAAACATCGTATTTGACAGAGTCGGGAAAACTGATCCGGTGACAAGAGGCATCGAAATAACCGTGAATTATTTGGGAATCCAGTTTGATGTAAGAGCCACACACACACACACACACACACACACACACACACACACACACAGTCACACACAGCTGAGGAGTTCACATAACCTCACCTCACCCTAACCAATACTAATGTTGCCTAATCTTAATCCTTACCTGAAACCTACACTGGTCTTGAATCTCACCCTAACTCCAAATATACCTAAAATGTCCCCACAAGGACAGTAGGTCCAAATTTAAAAAATAATAAAAAAAGAAAAATTAATAATAATTCTGATGGTTTCTGTCTCTTGTCATCTCACTCCTCCCCAGGTTAAGTTTTGGTCTCAACACATCTCCTTCATCCTGGTGGGAATAATTATCGTCACATCTATACGTGGTCTTCTCATCACACTCACAAAGGTACAACCTGTCATTTTACAAATACACACACACAACTTGAGTTGTTTTAATATAAAGTTTTTTATTTTTTTATTTTCTTTGCATTAGTTCTTCTATGCCATATCGAGCAACAAATCTTCAAATGTCATCGTGCTGGTCCTCGCTCAGATAATGGTGAGTGTGTTTGTGTCTAAAGTTCCTCTGTAACACCAGCAGTCTCCAGAACTTTGTTTAATTATTATCATTTTTAATGTTACCAGGGCATGTATTTTGTATCCTCGGTACTGCTGATGCGCATGAGCATGCCACTGGAGTATCGCTCCATCGTGAGCGAGGTTCTGGGAGAGCTGCAGTTCAACTTCTATCATCGTTGGTTTGATGTCATCTTCCTGGTCAGCGCCTTGTCCAGCATCCTCTTCCTCTATCTGGCACACAAACAGGCACCAGAGAAACACATGGCCCTCTGATCTGATCTGACCTGAACTGTCAACCCACGGGAGAGATTTTTAATCTGGAATTATGGGAAATCCAGATTTTTTTCTATGTATCTGGACTCTTCCTGAATCAGGAATAGCTGATTGGTCGATACAGGTGATGTTGAACTGCTGGGGCACATCAGGGAACTGTTTTGAAAGTGTGCTCCACTGGGATCGTGGGACTTTCTGCCGATATCTTTTTGTCCTTCTTTATTTAACCTGTAGGTCTGTCATTTTCTGTCAGTTCTGTCTAGACGCACTGGAGCTAAGTCTTCACAGCACAACTCCGTTTCCCTCACACTGTCTTAAATATGTCATCTTAAAACAACAAAAGTCAGTAAATAACTCTTTATTCAAATACTCTGCAGTTTGTCCTGGTTATTGTTACAGAAATGAACATTTATTTTTAACTTAACAAACAGACAGACCAAGTTTCATTGTTAAATACTTTAATAAAGCCAGCACTTAGAAAGAAAGTCCAACATCATGATGAGTGGTCGTTACATGGCTGCATGTCTATAGTTTCTAGCCTTCATTATGGTAATACTGATGATCCAAGAGGTGAGGGAGATTTAACTTACATTATGCTAGTTCAGCAGTTCTTTAAGTGAGTGCGTTGACAGCTGATGCAGCTACAGCTGGATTTAAAGTTGCTTAAATAGAGGTAATTGGGAATTTGGAGTCCTGTTCACCTGTGGTCCACTGGTTTCTCTCATGTGATGAAGTGATTAAGGTGATTTACAAAAAAACACAGCTGATCAGCAATGGAATCCTGAATCAGCAGCTGCCTCTGAATGATGAGGCCTCAGAGTCTCTCGTCCAAACTTTCTTCAGATGATGATGATGACACTGATGATGCCTGAGACGAGTAGAGACAAAATAAAATCTATCAATAAAAACTGGAGCAGATCAGGTGAAGTTGAACTACTACTACTAATAAAATTATTGATGGATGGATGGATGGATGCTTGTGGACTAATTTATCTGACCCTGACGAACCACTCACCCTCTCTCTGACTTGCTCAGTTGGTGTTTCAGGTCTGTCCTGCACATGGCGTCTCTGCTCCTCCCTGTAGCTGCTCCCTTCAGTAGGAGCCTGACCAGATGACGACTGGTCCAGCAGCAGACGTGTGATGGCCACACCGTTTGCCTTGAGTTCGTCA